TTTGTGTTTTTACTCTTGGATTAAGTGCCATCACATGTAGTTCAAAAAAAAAAAGCTATTACAACTTTATCATCTTTAGAAGCTGAGTATGTAATAGCAACTTCAACAACTTGTCAAGCAATTTGGTTAAAAAACTTCTTGTAGATCTTTGTCAGGTTCAAGATAGAGCAACTAAACCTTTTTGTGACAACAAGTCAACAATTGCTATGACAAAGAATCCGGCATTTCATAGGAGAACAAAGCACCTCGACATTCACTTTCATTTTATTCATGATTTAGTTGCAAATGGAATAATCAAAATAGAGCATTGTAGAATACACAAGCAGCTAGCAGATCTTTTCAACAAAGCTCTTTAAGAGAGAAATTTTTCTACTGTAGATTACGTCTTAAACTATATGATTTTGAATCAATGGGAGTGTTGAAGAGTGATCCAAAATTTAGTTCACAACTAAGCTCAATGTCCTGATTTTTAGGAAATAGTTGGTAGTTAGTTATTATACGTGGCTAGGTGTTTTCAAATATTCAGCCACTATCTCTCCACTAAACCATTATCTGTTAACTATTCTATTTTTTATGCTTTACATTCTCTAGTTAGTGAGCTTTCCACTCATTTCTTGTAAGCCTATTAAAAGGCTAGTTGAATTTAATAAAAACAACGTAACCTATGTGCCATTAACCAAAATTGGTTCTTTGTTTTGGCTCAGTGATTTAGTTTGAACTTACCTCCTTCCCCAACATTGTGTATCAACATTGTGTATGTATTTTCAGCTCAAAATGACAACCCTCCTTATAACTTAGTCAGTTAGATATTCAACGCTATTGATGCAGAGGAACAGATATTCTTGGCAAAGTTGCTAAAGGGCTTAATGCTAACTTCTTCGGAGGCCGCTCATGCAATAGTGTAACTGAATTCAAACCAAACAATCGCAGTGGATGGTATTGGCAGGTACTTCAACTATTCATACTACTCATCATTGCTATTATTATCATTCTGCATATAATTTGTTTTGAAAGAAGACTTAAACTTTCATAATTCTACATCTTTTAGGCATGTACTGAGATGGTAATGCCAATTGGATATGGTGAAAATGATACAATGTTCCAAGCATCACCTTTTGATATAGAAAACTACACCAGAACCTGCCTGGATATTTTTGGAGTATCCCCAAGGCCTCATTGGATCACCACTGAATTTGGAGGCCACATAAGCTTATTACTTTGATTCTTAAAGAACAGAAAAAACACCTTCAGAGGAACTTATTGCCCCATCAAAATTTCTGCCTACTCAAAGTTATAAAAATTTTTAGGATATAAAATTTATACTCAGAAATTTTGCTAGCAACATCATTTTCTTCAATGGACTACGTGACCCATGGAGTGCTGGAGAGTGAAGAACTAACACTCTTGTGTCATTTTCACTTTTGTATTTATAGGAAAAAATTAATTCAAACTTTCAACTGCATTTTCCTGATTCATCCTTAAATCCTTCTACTAGAGAGTTTTGCAGAACATATGAGATAGCATTGTTGCAGTATATACAAATGAAGGTGTCCTTTGTGAGTTGTAGGAGATTGAAATTTATAATCAATCACTTGGTTTTGATTGAGATCTGTTATGGTGTTAAGGTGACCATTGCTTGGATTTAAGCCGTCCAAGCACAAGTGACCGTGACTGGTTGGTTGCACAGCGAGACAAGGAGATCAACATCATTGGCAGCTGGATTGAAGACTACAACGCAAAACTTGGTAGCAAGATCGACAAAAAGTGAAAATCAAGTTGTGAATAATGGAATGTTAAGACCATAGCAATTGTTTGTTTGTCATAATCAGTGAAGCTAAACAAGGATACGGTTATGGTGTACATTCCTCAGTGACTTTTAACTATCCATCAAAAAAGTTTTATGGCAACATTACATTCTGCAACAAATTGGGCTGTTTTTGTCTGTCCTCAATACTTGGCATAAAACTTATGTGATACAGACTGAACATCTGCTTTGAAATTTCATGATATTTGTAGGAAAAACTTCTGTGCTTCTCTCTTTTTGAAAACAATGCAAAACGTCTAACTACCTGAAAGAAATGAACAAATTTCTAGAACCAATAGCTTTCGAAGCTGTTGTTTTCAAGAAATACAAGCCATAGAATTTAAACTCTTATTATCCAATTAGGCCAGCTTTGTTTGAAAGGTCAAAGTTAATTAAATTCTAAGTGGAATTCCTAACTTATCAGCATTCGATAGGTCTTTATCAGTATTAAATAGGTCTGAAAGGTTAAATTTCAACATTTGTAGCTTTTATTTTTATTCACAAATTATGACTTTTTTATATAAAATAAATTAAGTATAGATTTTAATTCAAGTTTTAAATTTTAATAAATTTAAATCTTAATTAATTTGAGTTTTAATTCAAGTTGTTACATACCAACAATTATACAATGAGATTGAAAAAAATAATAATTAGCCGTCTAGACAGGGAGGAATTAATAATCCCAAATGGCACTAGAATTTATTTATTTAGGCTTGCTTTGTTCAAAAGCTAAAAGTCAATTAAACATTTTAGAAAGATTTCGATATGAGCTTTAGTGTTAATTAGCTTTTGTTAGTCTCTTCTTTAGATTATAATAATATTATGGCAATTTCAGATGAAATTAGTTGGATATAAACATTGAAAAACTAAAATGTTTATTTGAAATTAAACTCGTTATCATATATATTTTTTAATTTTGATTTTAAAATTAACAAATCAGCAACCTAAAAAATTTGTTTAATATACATTAATGTCAATTGAAGAGGTGAGCTTGTAATTGACTACTTTTTTTTTTTTTTGTTGATTTGGCCAGCATAATTTTCTTTTTAAAATCATGATGTGGTTGTCAATCAAAGTCATTCTTGTTTTGGCTTATTTGTTTGGTTTCTTCTGCTCTTCTCCAAGCTAATCCGATGATCTGAGCTAGAAAACAAATATATTTAATATTCTTTAATTGTATTTGAGATTATAAATATTAGATTTTAAATGATAAAATTAAAATTTTTATATTTTATTAATAAATCACAAGATTAAATTTATAATTCTAACGCAAAGGTTTGCACTCAACCATGGGAAAGGGAAAGCTTCACGCGTAAACTTGTGTCCCCTAAAAAAAATAAAAACATAAATCCCAATCATGAACAATGAAAAACTGGCCATTCATTTTGTTTTATTTCACTTTCAACTTGGGAAACTGGCCATTAATTTCTTTTAAGAGAAGTAAATGATATTTCTGAAAATAAATAATAATTTCTTTCAATGTGGGACGCAATTATTAGAGGGATTAGGTTTTCAGTGATTTTTTTTTGTAAGTTTAGCGACGTTTATAAACGTTATTAAAAGATTTACGATATTTGTTAAAAATATCATTAAGAGTGTCGATTATACTTACAACGAAAAAAATAACGACATTTTAAAAAAAATTATCTAATTTAACAGGATTTATATAAAAAATATCGTTAATTTAGTGATGTTTGTATAAAAAAACGTCATTTTATTTAGTAGCATTTGTGTATAAAATATCACTAAATGCTAAATTTAGTGGTGTTTATATCATAAAATGCAGTTAAATTTAGTAGTTAAAAACACTTTCAATAATCTCCTTAACAAAAAAAAAAAATTAAATGAGATTATTCAAGATATTTTTTGTTAGAAACACCTTCAATAATCCCATTTAATTTTTTGTAAGAGATTATTGAAAGCGTTTTTAATGCCAAACACCATATATAAACTAAATTTTTACCAGCAAAAACCTCTAATTGATTTGCATTCATTGTTAGATATACTTTTTAAAATGATAATGATTATTTCATAATTTTTTAGTTAGAGTCAAATTTGAAAATAACGTTACTTTCCTTCACGAAATCCTAGAACACCATAGGAAGAGGTAGGTTTTTTATTTTGGAACTTTGGGTACTATTAAAAATTTATCAATTTTCTCTAAAATCAGATTACCCTAAACTAAATGTTAAAATCAAATACCCAATAAAAAAATATCAAGAAAAAATATTTGGATTCTCATAAACCAAACGCCTCCTTAATAGCATTTTTTCTACAAACGTTACAAAAATTTTTATTATTAGTGGCATTTTATTTTATAAACACCTCTAAATACAGATTTAGTGGTATTTATAATACAAACACCGCTACACTTGAAAAAACATGAAACTTTGTAACGTTTTTTTGTAAAACATCACTAAAAAAGTGCCACCAATTATCTATTTTCTTGTAGTGAATGTATACATTTTTGCTATATAAGGAATATCCATATTAGATTTTATATTTTATTCAAAACTTATTTTAAATATATTAACTAAATATTTTATGAAATAATTTATTTTCATTAGTTTCATCAAAAATCACCACAAATAAAAGAATAGTGGCAAAATTCAATGAAAAATGAAAGATAATTATAAAATTGAATGAAATCAAAGTAGAATGATAAAATTCAAATTTACTTATAATACAATGATAAATTTACCTTTATCCCAATTAAATATAATTTTTAAAATAACATTTTGACTACTCTTATTGAGGCTTATATAAGCATCCATTGTAACTAGACACCTATAAAATATATGATAAATTAACACTACAAAATGGTTTTGAAAACGTGCTAAATTTTTTATTTTAATGATTAAATTAAAATTTTAACAGCCTCAACTATAAAAAAAATAACTATAGCACATTTGAAAAAATGTTTCAATTAAACATTTGTATCGACTAATTTGTATATTCTATTTATAATCTTTATGGGTGCAAACTTGCTTTAATAATTTATAAATACTAGATTGAACAATAATTAACCATTTGGCATCTGTTTAGCCAAAAGAATTTTTCCTTCTACTAATTTCATTTCACAGATGACAAAGATCAAGCAAATTCCAAGTAAATTCTCAAGGAACTAACGATGATTTGTCCTATATAATTAATAAGCAAGCTCTTGGCAAAGGCTTTTCAAGCTCAAAATAGAGCCTGACAAGCATACTCTGTCTTAGTTTAATTGCCATGAATTCTCCTATATTTTCATTCCAAAGGCTTCAATTATTCGTTACAGTTCTGTCAAGCTCTATCGCTGCTGCCCACTTCAACATTCCGCGGCTGAGTCCAACGTTGGGAACAATCTTGGAACAGCCTGAAATCTTGTCTGCATCAGTTTCAAAGGATCTGCAAACCTTTTACTACCCCCAAACACTTGATCACTTCAACTACAGGCCTGAAAGTTATAGCGCTTTTCAACAAAGATATGTGATGAATTTCAAGCATTGGGGTGGAGCAAATGCTAGTGCACCAATTTTAGCCTATCTTGGAGCTGAAGCTCCTTTGGACGATGATCTTACTGTAATTGGTTTTCTCAATGAAAATGCCATCCATTTCAAAGCTCTTCTTGTATACATAGAGGTATGGATTTTGAACCGAAAACATTCAGATAATCAATTAGAAACCAACATAATTAATTTTTTTTAATATTCTATTTTCATCAGCATCGATATTATGGAAAATCAATACCATTCGGATCAAGGGAAGAAGCCTTTAAAAATGCAAGCACTCGGGGGTATTTTAACTCTGCCCAAGCCATTACAGACTATGCAGAAATCATAATGCATATCAAGAAGAAACTTCATGCTTTCTATTCTCCTGTGATTGTCATCGGAGGATCATATGGAGGAAGTAAGCTATTTCAAACTCAACTTCATTTATCTGTTCCTTGTTGGTATATATTTAACTTTGCCTTGATCTTTTTCGAATGAAATCAGTGCTTGCTTCATGGTTTCGGCTAAAGTATCCGCATGTTGCTTTGGGAGCTTTGGCTTCATCGGCTCCAATCCTTTATTTTGATGATATTAAACTACAGCCAGAGGGTGGATACTATTCAGTTGTCACAAAGGATTTTAGGGTATTATTACAGTAAAACGAACTAATGAATTGGTGATTTTTGTATACAATTATTATGTAGAATTAGTGTTACCTTTTAGTCAATTTTTTTTTTCATTTTAAATTAATTACATGATTTTATTTTCTATCTCCATATAGTATATAAACAATAAAATGAATTGGTTTTAGATCATGTTGGGTTTGGATTTTTTCGAATTTAGACAATTCCAGGTTCAAATCATTTCAGCTTCAAACTATGAAGATAATTTTTTAGATTTTATAAAAAATTTAATCGTTTCTAACATGTTTTTATAGTTTCAATTCATTTCAACTACTAAAGTATGAATGCACAGGAAGCCAGCGAGACATGCTACCAAACCATACAAAAATCATGGTCTGAAATTGACAAAGTTGCCTCGGAGCCCCAAGGTCTTTCAACCCTCAGCAAGAAATTTAAGACATGCTAGTATGTAAATTTAACAAGTATTGTTGTGCCATCTTGATTATAATAATTCGAATTCATGATTCCAATTAAAAAAAAAAACAAACAAACAAAAGGGCTGATCTCTGATTTTCCTTTTTATTTGTAATTATTAGTCCCTTGACCAGTTCTTCAGAGCTCAAGTCTTTCTTGGTGCTTATGTATGCCTATGCTGCACAATACGATAGACCACCAAGATATCCGGTTACTGCCGTATGTGGCGGCATTGATGGAGCATCATCCATTGGAAGTGAAGTCGACACTCTTAGCAAAATTTTTGCAGGGGTTGTCGCTTACTATAAGAACCGATCTTGCTATGTCAATCCAACAGCTAATGCATCTGAAACAGATATAGGTTGGCGTTGGCAGGTAATATATTCAGACTTTTTTCCACCTCCTTTTCTATATAATTAATGCCATTCAAGCCAAAATTTTGAGGTTCAAACATAATCAAAGATCGCTTGCAATTACAGGTGACAAATGAGCGGATTCAAGTTTAGACATTTTGGTTTTAAGTCATATTGAGTTTGGATTATTTTGAATTTAAATCTTTTTGGATTCAAATCATTTTAGATTTTGATTAATTAAATAATTTTTTAGATTTTATAAAAGACGTAATCATTTAAAATGTTTTTTGAGTTCGGGTTTCCAATAATTTTTTGTTCAAATTATTCAAAAACTTTTGGATTCAAATTATTCAAATTTAAATCATTTTAAATTTGAGTTTTGTCAGGATTAACTTTTAGATAAAATTTTGAATTCAAATTCAAATAAATTTACTATTTTCTGGGTATATATTTAAAGAGATGCAGTGAGATGGTGATACCAATTAGCATCGGCAATGGAACCATGTTTGAGCCATCCCCTTTCGATCTAAAGAGATTTATGAACCGGTGCGAGAGCTTCTATGGTGTCCCTCCTCGGCCTCATTGGATCACTTCTTACTACGGCGGCCACGTATGAATCCTCTCTCAATTAATTTCTTCATAATTTTTTGTATAAATGATTCTTAAAATATTTGTTAAAACTCTGTTTTCATATAACATTTTGCATTAAAATTTCCTTGCCTTCAAATTAAAAATATAAATAAATAGATAAATAATGTAATCGAACTTCGAATTAATTGCTTTTTATTCCCTTACCTTTATTTTTTGGAGAAGGCTTTTCCTTACCGATTCAATATGACGAACATATCCAACCAAATTTTTTTTTTTTTATCATTTTTAGACTCAATTTTGCAGGATATAAAACTGATTCTCCATAGGTTTGGTAGCAACGTCATCTTTTCCAATGGGCTGCGAGATCCTTATAGTAGCGGCGGGTATAACCAAAAACATCCCAAAAAACAAAGAAACATTGAAGATTAATCTTTTATCTAATTTCATAAATCATATGTTTTCTTTTATTGTAGGGTGTTGGAAAACATTTCAGATAGTGTTCTTGCCATAGCTACAGTCAATGGTATGTGCTTAACTTTCACTCCAAACAAATGCAATTAGAAATCTTTTTATAATGGAATCCATCAAAAAAAAAAAACTATAAGTGATGAGATTTGAATGAAAATCGATTGAATATTAATTTTTAATGTTGATTACATGAATCAATTTAATTAAATTTTGAATTTTAATTAGACTAGCTTTATTATAATTTTTTAATGTAATAATGCTCAATTAATAATAGTTATAAAGATGAAATCTTTTAAATAAAATGAATATTAAAAATTCTATGGTTATCGGATCATTTTCAAAATGAAAAAGAGCAAGAGATTGACTATGTGTATTCATTTTGCAGGATCTCATTGTTTAGATATACTTCCGAAAAGGAAAACTGATCCAGAATGGTTGATCAAGCAACGGAAAATAGAGGTGAAGATTATCAAAGGATGGATAGCTAAGTACTATGCTGATCTTAAGGCATTCACGCAATAGGAATATTTTTTGTCCAAGATGAAAAATATTGAATAATGGAAGAATTCAAAGTTATATAACCATGAATCTCTTATAGATTTACAATTCAAGGAAATAATATTTGATAGCTAGGCTTAGGATTTATATTTCTCCTACTATATATGTTGAATTTCTATAATATTATAGTATTTGATTAATAACATCATAGTAATTAAGTTAAAACTGATTATGTGAATTTTTGCCACTTGGAATTTTTTTATCATTTGTTCTTCGGATTTGAGAAAAAGAAAAAAAACCCAAAAAATTCTTAGGTTGCTCCAATCATTATTTCAATATCCATTAAAGGAATTATCATAAAGTTGATCGAAACCTAGTGCCTGATCACAATAAGATTTCAAGCCCAACTCATCTTCCAAGCCCGATTCATAGTAAGAATTGTTATAAACATGTTATCATGTTGGGGCCAGAAACATTGCCTTTGCTTAACTTAGGTGACAGTTTCATCTTCACTTTGATCCTTCAACATTACCTTTGCTTAGCTTAGATGACAGTTTCATCTTCACTTTGATCCTTTCTTTTGATATGATACAAAAAGGATTCTGCCTTTTTTCTCACAACATTTGCACCAGCAATTGTTATTCATCAGCAAGAATAATTATAAGGACTGGCAAAGATTCCTCTTTTCAACTGAAACGACTACCATCCATTATTCTTCTTTGAATGCTTTTCTTTAAATCTGAAAAGAGAATGAACCCAAAAGAGAATTCATATCATCATGTAAGCCTCAAAAAACTTTCATCAAATTTATCTCGTTTTAAGTTTATACGAAAGAAACCATCTTTCTTTGTCACATCAGCTCAAAATGAAAAAAACAAAATCTTCGAAATTTAACTTAGAGACGTGACTATTCTTAGGTTCTAATCATGGATGCTAAAGGCAACATCATCAAATATGCCATTAGCATATATGGTTATGAACCAATTAAAATTATCTTTTTAAGTCACTTTTTGTTTGCCTTTTTTTCATTATTTGAAATGCTTGAATTTATAATTAATAGATCTGATAATTTATATATTTGCATCATGTTTATTTTATATTAAATACATGTAAAATGCAAAAATTATATATCATAATTTGTATCAATACACTAAATAAAAACATATTTTTTTGTCAAACTTATATACAATATTTATTAAAATTTTAAATAGTATCACTTTTATTTTTTTTATTTTTTCGTACAATATCTTTATATTGTGTTTAAAATTTTTAAATTTATTTGATAATGTTATTGATGTAGCAAAAAGAATATGGTATGACAAATAAGCTAATTATATGAATATGATACTTTGATGTATGTTATACAATAATTACATATTTCGAATGAGTTTTCTCATCATAAAAATTTTTTTTTATGAAATTAGAAGTATAAGTTTCAATCATAATTAATCAAATATTATATTTATATACAAGAAATCATTAAATAATTAAACCAACCAACTAACAAACTAACAAATTAGAACAGAATTAAATAAATAAATATACAATTGAATCAAATCCACACACAAAGACTCAACTTCTTAATGATCCAATTAAATGATTTAAAATTATTAGAATTAAAAGGACATTGACACTATCAAAAATATGGTTGCATTTCATCTATTATTCCTTTTACTATAATCCTACAACTATTCAATCACAATAAAAAAATTATGTAGAGATACATCACTTATAAATGTAGATTTCATATAAAATTTTGATAAAATCCACACAATTCTAAGTTGTGATTGGTTAAAATATTGGTTGGTTAATTATTACATGCTATACCACTTATAGTCTCTTTCATCCCCACTCTCTTTTTGCCTAAATACTAGCCCAAATCATTATCCAAAATCTCCTAATAATATTCCCTCTTTTACAGTATAAAGTTTCTTATTCTGCGCTGTTTTAGGCCATTCGAATTCTAAAACATGAATTTTTGACACTTACTTTTCATATTTCAAAATATAATTGCCAAGAATGAATGGGAATAAATTCACATAAAAAGATAAAAGCTCAAACATCCTTTAGACCACTCAAAAGAATAGTAGGGAGTGTTATCCTAAATTCCCTACTATTCTTTTCAGGATTTAAAGTTCTTACAACTTTCTTCACATTTGTTTTAAACTGGAGACTTGACAGATATCAAGCTCTTGTAATTCATTAATCATTAGCTTCCATAAACAAAGAGGCAATCTACAAGAGAATTCATTAATTTGGTGCCTTTGACATTGCCGCATTTCTCAAAATCTCCACTGTCAAATCTCAATAGAGATGACAAAGATTAATTACCTGGCCAGCCTGGATAATTAGGCAGATGCAGGTGTGTGAGGTGAAAGTGGAGAGAGTGAGACTTGGTGGCTTCAGCTGCCATAACAATGAGAAAAGGGAGAAGTGGTAGGCTCAATCTGTTGCAGAGATTAAATGCCTCTTGATTTGGACCATTTTCATTTGTGCTTTGCATCAAAATGATGACAGTTTTTGCTCTTCTTGTCAGCATTATACACGAGACATATAAGTCTTACCCTCGCCTAATGGTTTATCCAATTAAAGTGAAACTAGCATTATCTCACCAGATTCTTCATATATGGACCAAAATCATTGTTTTTATTTGAATATATAGTCTTATAATTTCCATCTCCGTCTATGAAGATAGAGTACTGCTTGAATTCACAATCACATGAACCGGATCATTTAGTCTTAATCAAAGCATGAAACATTCAAGTAACTTCTGCTTTTTCTGCAAAAATCTTTGGCTAATGAAATTTGTTATAGCATTTGTGGACCAAAGGATTAAAAAAGTCTACCATCCCATTTGCCCTTACAGGCTTAAAAATTCTACCACTTTGCATGGTCAATGTTGGAAGGTATGCCTTCCCCATTAAGGTCCACTCACATATAAATGACAGATTCTTCAGTCAAAACTGCAATAACTTCTATCCATTTGTTCTTCTTTAAAGTCAGCTTTTCTTACAAATCCTACTTGGAAAGAACGAAGCAGAATATCTTTTAAAAAAGACGATAAAAGATGACCCTTCAAGAATTGAAATTTGGAAAGAAAAAGATGATGCATTTCAATGCCATGAGCATCTTTTGTTTTTTGATAGTGTGACCGTTATGTGAACACTGTTTTGCTTTTGACACCTTCTTAAAGTTGCAGTCAAATCTAGCCAACGGTGTATATTTAATTTCAGATAGGGGTAGAAAGCAATAAGATTTTTCCTTTTCCCTTTTCTTATTACTTATGCATCAAGTCTTAAAATCTTATCAATTTAAAATTTAAATCTAAACACCTACAATTTTTTTTTTAATCTTCGTATTGCAATCTTCTTTATGAGAAAAAAAATTCTAAATTATATACATAGAGATGTGTTGATTGAACCTTAGGTTACAAAATAAAAAATAATATTCGTAATCTTATAAATCTTACCTTTCGTTATAAAATTTTAATTCGAATCAAAGAAAAAAACAAGTTTTTTAAACCGAAGTCTTCCTAATTTTGATCTAGTTTGTTGATTTTATTTATTATTTTTCATAAACCAAACAGTTGATTTTGTTCCCTAACCTTCAGTCAAGAGACTAAAGACGAAAAGAAATGGGAACCAAACATAAGAAAACATGTGAAAGTATTTTAACCCAGAAAATGTATGTGTAGTTAGGTATAATATTGACCTATATGTTTCCATAATCCTGACATCATCTGATCAAAAAGATGTATTTCCTTATGCGCTTTTACGTGGGTTTCCTAATCATTTCGAGCTTTGATTAGTTAATTATAAAGAAATAAGCAGAAACAATCAGCTAATCCATGTGGTTTTTGGTGAGCTTTAGCAAAACACTTCTCCGCATAGGCATCCACCAAAAATATATAAAATATTTTTTATCTTCATGATTAGTGCTACAGAATATAAAGATGTAGGCATCACATCAGGGGACCTTGTTTATATATTTTCAGCATAAATTTGAAAATTTTTTTGTTGCGTAAAAGTTTAGAAAAATGAGGGAAGACTTTTTTATTTAAGAATTAAAGATAAATAGTATTTTTTTTTAAAGAGAATTTATATTAAATCTATAGATTATTTATCAAGAAAAACTATTCTCGACGGATAAAAGTTACTTTAAAGATAACAGATTGATCTTCTTCAAGAGCTCACATCAACAAAAAGGGTTGGAACCTCGATCTCGGCTCTTCGCCACCTGGGGTTGTAGTATGTTCCAAGGATTGGGCTGTTCGTCCATTAAAATAATACGTGACTTGAGTTCAGAAAGTCGTGAGATAGTTCGGTTCATATCCGGTGAGATCGTTAGATTGATCGTTAGAGCATTGAGAGAATCTTTCCCTCGTACAAGAGGACTAGGAAGGATGCATCTCTAGTGTACCAGTCATTATGCCTACGAAAAATGCTTATTTTCAACCTTCCAAATGTTTCATTATTATATCCTTCCTCACAGTAAGACTTTCCAAGCATTTCAACTTTCCAAGCATTTCATTATTTCACCTCTGCAATTATGGTATGTTTGAAAAGTGATTTTTGATTAATAAAAATCCAAAACGTGGGAAATTTTTGCAGGATGAATTTTTTTATATTAGCGCTAGGAAAAGAAGATATCACTTTTCCGAAAGAAAGAAAAAAAAAATAGTCATAAATACAAATATTTTTGTAATCATAGATATCAATATATTCCATCAAAGTCTTTTTGCAAAATCTTTGGGTTTAATAAGAAGATTTAAGTAGATATATAATTCAGATGAAGTGGGATTTTGGGTTGAATTAAGATACATACTCGACCAATAGTGGAGACTTAGAGATGAAAATAGCTACCGGCATTCATATATAATATATATATACTCCGGCCACGAGAAAAAGAAAGTCCACTAAGACTCCATTTGAGAGCATGATGGGAGTCCTCCCACCACGCCGAGGTTATATTTTATGTTTGAACTTTTAAATTCTTAAAGATTCAGTCATAAAACATAAAATTCGACACGATGGAAAGATTCTCATTGCGCTCAAATGGAGCCAAAGATGAACTGCAATTAACATCACTATGAGATGTTTGGTTAGTTTACAACAATCAAACTAGTAAAAAGAATCTCTACATCTATTAAACCATTAGGCTAGCTAGCTAGAGTTGATGAAGCAAAATTCCAATTGAACAGAAAGGAAGATTAATGCAACATTTTATATTAATGTTTGGAGGTGTTGAGAAAATGCTTCAGAGAGACAAGCCACTGATTGGTGTTTCCTCTATTGTCCATTTTTTCTATATGCACCCTTTGACGATGAACAATGTTGACCATACTTTAAATTAAAAAAAAAAATTTAAGATAGTGAAAGTCAATCAACTATATTAGTTATTAATTAACAACTTGCAATCCTTAAAGGCAGAAAGTAAGTTACAGGAAACAGGTTTTGGTGGAAGGTGATTTCTCTGCAACCTTCAGCGTCTAAATTTTTTTTTTTTTTTTTTAACATTTAAAGTTATCCGAATTTGAACTATGAAACTAAAGTCCAGCACTTTTTGCTTTATTTACTAAATGATAAGAAAATTTGCAATATCAAGTTAATTAGATCACAAGGTATAGCTTTATTTACTTTTTCTGGAATTTAATCTCCACGCCAACTTTTTGCTTTAAATTGAGAACATGTTAGACACTTTTGGCAAATATTGCTGAATTTAATAACTATATAGTGGATCAATCTAGGCATCTCCCTCCTATTTTTTGTGGATTTGGTGACCATAGAATTAAAAATAAAAACTAAAACAATCGATCTTTAAGCTAATAAGTAGAGTCCGCCTTTAGATGGAAAGATAAAAGCAGAGACCAATTTGTCTTAAAAACATCCTTACTCAAATTGAACTCAAAACAATCCTTTAAGAATAAATACTGTTCCAAATTCGGCGACCAGACTTTCAAAGATTCTGAAACTTTTATGCATTGAGGTTATGTCATCATTGGTGTGTCATATATATTAAAAGGATTGATTATGCTTTCTTCCTCTTTTCTTTACTCTTTCCTACCGCCCCTCCCCATGCGATACACAATTGTGGGGTTCATATGATAAAGTGGCAGCCCTGATACAGTTTTCTATTAAGTCAACCAACTGTATATCTGTGCACAAGCACCTACCTGACTCTCATCATATCATCAGGAGTTAAATTTCATGATACATCATGATTTAACAGTTACCAAACTCTTATAGTATAAATAGAATGTTCTTCAACTCGAATGAGCTCAAGAAACAGAATCGAAACCTTTTTCTTGCATAGAAACAAGGCCATGGACTTCTATAGACACTCATTGCATGAGCTGTTTTTGTTTTCCTTGATTTCCTTGTTCTGTGTGATCTCGGGAACACAGTTCAGCATCCCCAGGCTAGGAGCACTTCGAAGAACAATCCGAAGTGAACCCAAGATCACATCTACTTTAGTTTCTAATAAAGATTTTGAGACCTTCTTTTATAGCCAGACACTTGATCACTTCAACTACAAACCGGAAAGTTATACCACTTTCCCACAAAGATATGTAGTCAATTCTAAGTACATAGGTGGTGCAAATACTAGTTCACCAATCTTGGTGTATTTTGGTGCAGAAGAGGCATTGGACTATGATTTATCCGGTATTGGTTTTCTCACTGATAATGCCCCTCGTTTCAAAGCTTTACTAGTATACATAGAGGTAAGAAACCAAGTCTTTCTTCTCCTTCATCTCCTCTTTTTCTCACCTGCGTCGGAGGCTTACTTGGAAACTGTGACATTATGATCTTCGTAGCATCGGTTCTATGGAAAATCCATACCATTCGGATCAAGGGAAGCAGCTCTGAGAAATGCCAGTATTCGGGGTTATTTCACCTCAGCTCAAGCTATAGCAGATTATGCTGCCATCATTCTTCATATAAAGAAAACATTCTTTGCAAAGAACTCTCCTGTAATTGTCATTGGAGGATCATACGGGGGAAGTAAGTAACTTGAGAAACATTATTTAACAGGTTAACAGAAATTTTCTTTGGTCTATGACCATATTTTTAACTTTGACATGCCATGTTTTCAAAGTTGTTTTCTTAATATTTTGCAGTGCTTGCTGCATGGTTTCGGCTAAAATATCCACATATTGCTCTTGGAGCTCTTGCCTCCTCAGCTCCAATTCTTTACTTCGATGACCTTGCACCAAAAGTTGGATACTACGCAATTGTGACCAAGGATTTCAAAGTAAAACATCAAATTCCAATTGGTTGACTATAAACTATTTCTTCTTCTTTTCACACTTCCCCTCTTTCTAATATGGTTATAACTTGTTCTACAATGGACAGGAAACTAGTGAAAGTTGCTACGAAACCATTCGAAATTCATGGGATGAAATTGATAGAGTTGCTTCGAAGACTAATGGTCTTTCAATCCTCAGCATGAAATTCAAAACTTGCGAGTAAGTTAACTATGATCACTCACACATTATCAATATGCCATGTTTAACGTTATAAGCACTTTTACAATCCATTTTCCTTCTATCTTTTCTTCTTTTTCAGAAAATTGAAGAGAAGTTTTGATCTTAAGGACTACCTAGATTCATTGTATTCTGAAGTAGCTCAATATGATCATCCCCCCACTTATCCCCTTAATGTCGTCTGTGGTGGCATTGACGGAGCTCCTGGAGGGACTGATATACTCGGCCGAATATTTGCCGGTGTTGTTGCTTACATGGGAAATAAATCATGCTACGACATGAACGAATTCAATCATCCAACTGATGAAACATATATGGGTTGGAAATGGCAGGTGAGACGTGACCAGATATAGCTGATGCCACTCGTTCATATACATCAGCCTCTTAGTTATAACAATATTCACTCTGTATCTTGGTAATCAATCACAACGACATATTGAAACCTATTCAAGGATGCTTACCTAAACATTTGAAAACTTTTTAAATGATTGGTTCTTTAAAAAGGTATTGGAGCCGAACAGACATAGCATTTCAGATTTTAAGAGAAAAATGACCACAAAAACCGAGTTTTCAAACTCATAGCTGGTATGTATCTTGAATATTTGAAAATCACAAAAACACTTCCATCAAATTTGTTATACAAAAATAATTTATTATTGCACTAGTAGTGTAGAGCTGGATTCCACCTAGCTGGTATGAAATTTTATTGGATAGGTTAATGCCACTAAACTTCCTTTCTCATGATTGCATGCAATTTCAAATGAAATTATTTTACAAATTACATGTTTTGTGTCTTTACAGACCTGTAGTGAGATGGTGATGCCCATAGGCCATGGCAACAATGATTCTATGTTCCCACCAGCTCCATTCAATCTAAACAGGTTCATAAGGAAGTGCAAGAGCTTATTTGGTGTCCAGCCTCAGCCACATTGGGTGACAACTTACTATGGAGGCCATGTGTGTTCTTCGATCTCATTTTCAATCACTTTCCAACAGTATTCCTGATAACTTTCCCTACATTTATTGATCTCCATAGTTTGTATCTATCCTTAAACCTAACACTTAAAAGTTTCCCATCATTGGCAGGATTTAAAGTTGATTCTTCATGGGTTTGCTAGCAACATCATTTTCTCTAATGGCCTGAGAGATCCTTACAGCAGCGGCGGGTAGAGAAAAACCATCCATAAATATCATTTATATAATCTAATTTCTGCAGATCTTTCGCATTTAGTTATTTGACATAGCTTAATGACATCTTCCATCTTATCACAGGGTATTGGAGAACATATCAGATAGTGTTGTTGCAGTCTATTCGGCCAATGGTACTTAGCTTCTCTTACAACATAGTAGAACAATTATGCTTTAGTTTCTGTCACATCAAAATATGCACTAGCATTAACCTGTGAACTTTTTCTGTAGGATCTCATTGCTTGGATATACTTCCAGAAAAGAACAGTGATCCACAGTGGTTGGTCGAGCAAAGAAAAACCGAAGTTCAGATAATCCAGTGCTGGATTTCAAAGTACTACACTGATCTGCTTGAGTTTACAGATCGAACCAGAGTCTGATCATGATATGAGCTGCTCCAATATAAACAAAGAGAATAAATTAAGTGGCCATATCAAATTTTCACTACATATTATATATATATAGAAACAATGTTGAATATTAAAAATACTGTCATGTAAGCCTGTAAGGGGTAGTTGTGCTATATTTATGAGTCCAAATAGCCGGCTTATCAGACTACTGGCATTTTACTATAGTCCATGACCATGAATGAGAAAATGTCAATCATGAATATGCATATCAATCTCATTACAAGGATTTCACCAAACCATAATGACACATCGGTTGTTTTTGTGAGGGGAATTTGGAAAAGATTGTCAGCACTTTGATGAACAAAGTTTTATAATTAAGTTTTAACAATTAATTATTTATTCAGGACAAAGGATAAGAAAGGCACACATTTGTTGAACCTAGTATGTTTTGGGTGGTATGCTACCCTATTAAGGACCACTGCAAATTATCATATATTTCCATTTGGTAGGCCAATAAGGGCACTTAATCCAATGCCCCCAATACCAGAAGTGGAGTCCCCAGCGAACTATAATAACTTCCACTCAGTCGATTCCTTTTGCAAGTTTAGGGTCAGGGCATCTTCAGGGAGGAAAAGAAAAGAAACTGCTGAAAATTGTGTGCAAAGCATCTGATGAAACTTTGAACAAGAAATGGGTTAAGTTAAAGAACAAATCAAAACAAAACATAGAATGAGTTTTATAATGATGATGGCAGATGGGAAGATGAAGAACACTTGCTCATTTCAAAACCTTGATGAATTGAGGATGGCCCACCAATAGAGATATATAGTGATTGCTGGTGATTTGGGATACAAAAGCAAATTCAGTGGTGCATTTGCAGGCGTGGCCATTACATTTTCTTTGATCATTTGGAACTTAATTTCATTTTTATAACTTCTCTCTTGAGTTCATACATGAATCTGGATTCAAAAGGACCCTGCCTGCCTCCCTTTTGGCTGATATTGGCACATTCTTGGGAGCACCAGCCAATTTTTTGACATGTCAGAACCCTGGTTACTACTTGATTGGTTATTTTTAATCAATCTTTTCATCTTGCATAAGTGCTGTTTTTTTTTCCTTCAAATTTTTAATCTATCCTTTAAATCTTCAATCTCTATGAACTAAATTTTCCAAAATCAGTGATTGAAGATATCAAAAAAAAAAAAAAATTATAAGTGCTAAAATTTTAACTCATTAAATCCACCCGAATTCATCTAATAGATTTGTAGACACAGAATCTAATGATACTCACCCTTGAAAAACAAATAAGATTGGAAGTCCAATTCCTTATTTCTTAATTATTGATTTCAACGATTTGGGTCCTCTGGAAAGAAAAGAGTAATTGGGCCTATCTGCACTTCGCCTAACCCAATTTATTCAATTTCTTGTTTCTTTTTAAGCCATTAACCAACGGCCCATCATATAACTTTTGGTCCACTCTCTCATTAACCCACAAAAATAAAGAGGCACTTCACAAAATTAATTAAAACAAAAAAAAAAAAACCAGACCCAAGTAATGTCAAAGGAAAGAAGAATAAGGGTATAGGTTTGATAAAATTTAGATTATAAATTGTGGGAAAGTTTTTTTTTTTTCCTGGATTCTCATGTGTCGTGTCATTTTCGTTTTGTCTGTTAAACAATGTTAACAGAGTGGCCCATTAAGGCAGGGATTGAAGTTACGGTGTCTGTTAATGGAGCCCACTGAATATACGAAGCAGTGGTGGCAACAGTTCTTAAGAGGCCCACAAAAGCAAATAACTTTTCTGGATAAAAAGCCCACCAGTCATTTTACACTCACATCTCCATCTTCTCTTCCATTATTAACAACTTAAAAAATAATAATAAGTCCTACATATTTTCATTATTGAAATTTCAACTAAAAATAATTTCTCAAAAAGTTCATAAAAATAAATGTAGACAAAGTAAAAAAAAAAAAAAAAACTCGGACTATTAAAAATGGCATCCAATAAATTGAAATTTTAAATAAATTTTTTTATTTTCAAGTTACAATATCTTTTATAAAAAAATAATAATTATTAAAAACATTAATGAATTGATTAATATAGTTGTAAACAGATAAAGTTGTCATATAAGTTTTACATTTTGTTCAATAATAGAGGATAAGATGCCATTTCTCTTACAAGGAAAGTTGAGCATAAGACAGTGAAGACTAAAGAGAGCAGGGTATATCTAGGGCACAAGTCATAGATAAGCATAACCTTTATTTACTCAAAGTCTCCAACACTGAACTTTATGGATATTCATCCATTCTCAAATACTTTAGATTTTATTTCACCACAATCAACTTGGAATTTGTAAAAAAGTCATACAAGAATAAAAAATTAAATAAACATTTTTATTTTGTCAAAGAGAATTGTTAATTATCAGCATCCATAACCATAACATGGACTATGTAGCCAATAGGGTAAAGGTATAGAAGAATAATTAATAGTAACAAAAAAATTGTATAAAAAAATTATTAAATATATTAATAGTAAAATTTTTTAATTTTATAAATGAAATTAAGATTGCGATATATATTTTTTAGTGCATATTTAAAAGTTAAAACATAAAATATGTGTTATTATTTTAATTTTGTTTGTAAAATTAAAAAATTTTAATATCAATATATCAAATAGTTTTTAATTATATAATATCCAAAACTATATACTTATTAAGTCCTGATAAACCCATTTTGATCATATATTCCATCCTATATATCTTATAATAAGTTAAAAGAATTCATTTCAAACTTTTTTTTTTAAAGAGAGGTTTTGCTCAATTTGGACATAATTGATTAAAAAAATTGGTTGTGCTCAACTACTCCTTCCAATTCTCTCTCTTTGTCCCATGCATAATTCTGTCATTGTCGCCGAACGATGGAGATGGGAAGCCTGCCGATTTTGTAGGTTGGTTGGTGGAACGTGGGTTTCTTAATTTGAAAATAACAAAAAAAAAAATCAACAGGATAATATAATCAATCAATGATGTCATATATATGTTGTTTTTCTCTTTTGAAGGAAAGGATTTTCTTAAAATATCTTCTCATATTAGGAAAATATTATTAAATTAATTTTTTTTATAAAAAAATCATAAAATAACAAATTTTAAATATATTAAATATCATTTTTTAAAATCATTATATGCATAAATTGAATTAAAGTTTAAGTTGAATTAGCATATTTTAATTTAACTATTTAATTTGAGAAATTTTTTGTTCAAATAAAGCATGTGAAGAGGAGATGGGTATATATATATATATATATATATATATTGAATTAGATTTCATTTGGTTAAGGTAAATAAATTTTGGTCTAAAATTTTATTAATGGAAATGAAAACTTTATTTTAAGTGGAAAAACAATTATATGACAAACTTTAGTTATTATTTTCCATGAATAACACTAAAAAAAAAATTACACAATTTTAAAAGCAAATTGAAATTTATCATTTTCTTTGACTAAGAATATGTCTAACACAAAATAATTGCTATTAATTTTCTTACTTAAAATTATTAAAATTAATAATTTAATTTTTTATCAATCTATCACGTTATTAATAAATTTAAACATTATTTATTTTGGACAATATTTCTAGTTCATTGACTATATAATATATAATATTATTTAAATTATGCATTAAAAATCAATTAAACGAGCCATACAAATAAAAAAGGATTTAAATTATTCAACGCCCTTTTGCTAAATTTTTTTGTTTGGATGGCATCCTTTTGATTTTTGAAGGTTAAACCATGCCACAGATACCTTACTTTTTAGGTCACCCTCACCTAAGGGCTATGGTACGCAGCGTCCGTAATGGAACTGTACTTTTTTGCCCAGTTTGTTTTGCGGCCTTCGGTCAAAGGCTCCAAGCCATTGCCTAGGAAAACCAACTCAACTATTCCCTCCAAATTTCGTACCAAAAGAATTGAAAATAAAATAAAATAGCCCTAACTTTTTACATTGGTGTCAAACATATCCTTCCCATTTTTCTCAATCCCATCAACACAAATCATTATAAAAAATTAAAAACTAAGGGACATGTAGGGATAAATTAGTCATTTTAAAAAGACCACAGCACCTTTGTTTTTGAGGATAGTTTAGTGGAAACGTGGCCTTATCCTTTTTTTTCTTTTCTACTTTTCAAAACCGACCAAGTAAAGTAAATTGGGAAACAAATCAATAATTGTGCATTGGGTTTTGATAAAGTAGTAAAGTAGTGTCTCTTCTTAAAAATTGGTTTCAAAAGACTGTTTGTTTGGTGGGAAATTTTTTTTTCTAATTTTAGTAACTTCGTTTTTTTAATGAGAGGTGGTTTTTTAGAGTTTTTTTTTTTTAGATTTTAGATAAAGTTTTTTTATTCAAAATAATTAAATAAAAAACTAAAATTGATTATAAATTGAATATATAAATTTTAAATAAATACTATTAAATAAGTAATATAAATGATATTTTTAATAAATTTTTAAAAAAAATTATCACTTTTTTATTAAATACTATTAATATATCGCTTTGAATTTTTATTAAATTTTTTATTAAATTATTTGTAATAAAATCCTCACAAACTTTATTTAAAAATTTTATCCAATTTTTCTTTATTTTTAAGAAAAAATGCCCCACAAATTGTGGGCAAAGAAAGTTGAGTTGGTAGGGTCAATGAACCAATGATGGTTCAAATGCCCCTTCATTTAATAGGAAATTCACTTCCTTAGGGATGTTGTATTGTTACTATACAAAGCCTTTATGGGTCATTGTCTTGGGCTACTGTTTCTCAGAAGACAACAATTTAAGTGTTCAATAGTTTCTTAACTCTTTTCTAGAGCTACTTTTTCCCTAAACACGCCTAAAGTTAATTCAACCATAGATAAAGTTGGCACACATTTCACATTATTATTGTTTTAAGCCTAACATAAAGTCTTTTCGTAGTTTATGGACTAAGATTTTTAAGCTTTAGACCTTTAGTTAAAGCTAATCATTTTGGTAAATTAAATAGAGATTTTTTTTTTAAAGTGTATGAATCTAATTTTTTAATATTGTGAAAAAGCTAAAATACTTGCCTAGGAAGCTTATATTTTACTAGTAAATAGTTATAAATTTAATTAACATTTAACATTGATATTTCATGATCTTATATAAAGGTTGTATTTTGAAAAAAAAAAATAATAGGAATACCAAAATTTGACCTTAAAATAAAAAATTTTTTGATTCACTAATAGCGAAATTAAAATTTTATAATTATTTATTTTCTTTTGTTTTTACCTTTATAACAAAATGTAATATCAAAAGTTAATATGTACATACATTACATTGATATATCAAATCCTTGCAAATTTAGATGAGATTTTGAGTTCAAATCTCATTGTATATGAGTTTGTTTTAATATTATGTTGACTTCATTTTGTTATGCTTTAGTTTTTTAATTTATTTATTTGTTTAATTATTCAATTATACAATATTTAATTATGATTGTAACTTGTACTTGTAATTTTATAAAAAAATTTTATTATTTTTAAATTTTAAGATAAATTGTGCAAGTAAATACATATATATATATACATGTGCATTTTATAATAAAAATGATAACATAAATATAAATGAATATAATTTTGTTAGTACTTGAGATTATCAAAAATTAAATTTTAATTATTGAAATAAAAATATTGCATTTTACCAACAAATTGCATGGCTTTTTACTATAAATTAATACCATTATTATAAAATAATTACTCACATTATTTTCTTAAATTTGTTATCTTGTAAGTTATAATTGGGATTTAAATTCGAAACATTTTAAACCGATTCCAATACTATTAAACTAACATATGATTAGTATGAATATTTTTTTAATTACTAGTTAAGTATATGGTACAAATACGAACATATATCATTTTATTAATTAATAACTAATCGCCTTTAAAAAAAAAAAAAAAAGTAATAAAGAACATGGTACATATGCAAGCACGTCATATCTTACTGGAGGATACTTTACATTGAATAAACCCAATTTTCATTTAACAAAAAAATATTATTTTAATTAATAATAATATAAAAAAGCTTAGGAAATACGCGCATGATGGTAGCTCACCGAACAGGAATACCAAAAAAAAGAAAAAACCCACCTCGATAGTCTTCACGCATTATAAAATATTTAAATATTTATAAAAATTGTATATATGCAACGTAACATAATCCATGTCTTGTTTCGAAAATTCTGTTATTATCATCTCTCTGTTTGTTGGGTTGTGTCTGAAACGACTTGCATCTATGTTTGCTAACCCAAAACCATTCCTTCTGAATCTTTGTCTTCAAATTCTCTTCCTTCTTGTTTTCTAGTTTTCCCCAAACTCAATTCCCATCTTTTCTCCTTTTCTTCCGAGTTTCCCATCTTTATTTTTGAGAAAAAAAAATACGTGTTAGGTGTTACTATAAAGTTTTTGTAAGAGAAACGAAAATGGCGGAGGTTTTTCTCGCCTGGGTTATGATAACCGTCTTGGTTTTGGAGGCTGCGGTGGTTATGGGTGGTTTTCCGGTGACTTTGAAGCTGGAGAGAAGCATTCCTCTCCCGAGTCATGAACTCGAGCTGAGTCGAGTCAGAGAACGTGATAGACTCAGGCATGGAAGGTTGTTGCAGTCCTCTGGTGGTGTCGTGGATTTTCAAGTTCAAGGCACCTATGATCCGTTTCTTGTTGGGTAAAGAAGCCCCAATAAAAAATTTTCACTTTTTCTTCCTTTTTTTTTAATTTTAATTTGGGCTTGGGTTTTGGATCACTGGTTTCTAAATTTAGATTGAAAGGTTTAATTATTTGATGGGTTTTTTATTTTTTTTTTGTATTTTATTTTTAAATGAAATTATCAATTTCCTAATCTTCTTCTGTGTTTTTGTTAAAATTTTTTTTTCTCTAACGGCTATAAGCTAGTCTTCCTCCCTTTCCCTTTTCCTTTCAATTCAATAATTATGTCTTTCAAATAGTAATGCTTTTTCTCTTTCTCTTTGATTTTGCTCTGCTTTGTTTTGCTTTGGCTTTTGTTTTCTCTTTCCTTCAATTTCTTTTAGTTTTGCTGATTTATTTCTTTTTTTTTTAGGCTATATTATACAAAATTACAATTAGGTTCTCCTCCAAGGGAATTCTATGTACAGATTGATACTGGAAGTGATGTTTTATGGATAGGGTGCAATTCCTGCAATGGTTGTCCTGAATATAGCGGACTACAAGTAAAATTCGCTTTTCCTTACATTTGTTTGTATTCCTGAAACTGGTTGAAACAAATGGACATGAGCTACCATATTTTTGTTACAGATTCAACTTAATTTGTATGATCCTGGAAGCTCATCAACAGCTTCATTGGTCTCATGTTCAGACCAAAGGTGTAGTGCAGGTGCCCCATCATCAGATTCCGGCTGTTCAGGTCAGAGCAATCAATGCAGTTACACATTTCAATATGGAGATGGTAGTGGCACATCGGGCTATTATGTAGCGGATTTGTTGCATTTTAATTCAATTTTTGAGGGAGCTATGACTTCTAATTCTACTGCTCCCATTATGTTCGGGTGAGCTAAATAGAATTCGTCAATGTTACGATAGTAATCATGTTTTTTCTGAATTTGTTTGATTAGAAAATGGAATTTATTGGCTGAAGTTGTGGATTGTGAAACAGGTGTAGTGTGTTGCAGACTGGAGATTTGACAAAGTCTGATAGAGCGGTTGATGGAATCTTTGGGTTTGGGCAGCAGGGTTTGTCTGTAATCTCTCAACTTTCATCACAGGGAATAACACCTAAAGTGTTTTCCCACTGCTTAAAAGGAAATAATGGTGGTGGGGGTATACTTGTTTTTGGCGAGATTTTGGAGCCGAATATTGTTTATACTCCACTCGTCCCATCACAGTATGTTCTTTCTTGTTAGGAAGAAATTGTTACACTCTTTTGTTTCATCTAATTGTTGCAGCCCTGGCTTTTTATCTGTCATGTCTGTTTGTCGTTCTTGCATATCTATTTAATTCAAATGCTTTATTAAGTTGTTTCCAGAATTAAACGTTTTGCTTGTTCCTGGTTTTGAAATTGTCATTTTCTTAATTTATAACTGTATGCACTTCATCATATTTGAAAGGTTTGGAGGAGAAAGTATGACAGAAACAAGCTGCACCTAAAGTCAGAATTTGTTATAGCTTCAGTAAACATTTTTAGTTATTTAGACTTACCGGTCCTTTTGATTTTCCAATGGTAGTTTCCTTATTATTCATAAAACCAAAAGCATTTGTGTTTTTGGTATGGCACAATAATGGTAATATGATACATAATCTTACATACATAGGTTCATTAGCTTGATATTCTACCCTTTCTGAAGTGAATTACCCTTATTTGGCTAGCTTGCTGGTGTTGAGATCAAAGAGTATGAGGAAAAGCCTGATCATAATGTTGTTTCCAATTTGCTTATTAGACATCTATTTTCTCTAGTTCAAGCGGCACTATCGCATGAACAGCACAGGAGCACCATGTTTGCTAGGTCACTACATCTGAGACTGTTAAGAGAAAAGTTATTGCTGCAGATTTTCATGGTTATGGCATAGTTTCCAAGAGAATTAAAAATATTGTTTTAGTAATAAATCATAATGAGACTTGGTGCTTTCTGAACTTTGTGGACTGAACTATTGGATAGTCCTTATACTTAGCAGTTGTCTCCAAACTGGGGTAGATTAGTGTTTGGACATGGTTAAAGCAATCATGAATTGTACTAGTTTCTGATCATAATTCTTCCATTATTTGGTGGAAGCTGACTCTCATTTAAACATTGTTATGTTCGATATATGCAGCTTTCTTTTATTTGAATAATACATTTTCAAATGTAATCTAAAAACATCTTAGTTCCAGTGATATAAACTATGCATGACATGAATCAGAATAGATATGGTTCAATAAGAAGATTAATCCAGCAGTGATTTGATAATTTGAATTGGCTTTGGCTTTCATTATCAGTTTTAATAATAAAGGTAGCTACATTCTTGAATGTCAAAAGATGTAAAGAGTTTCAACCTTTTGGTAATTGCCATTGGAGATTTATAATTTCATATCTCCCATAGGTTACAAAGAGGTGATTTCTTTCCACTAGTGAATCTCATTTGATGGATGTAACCTTTTTTTTACTTTGCAATATGTATAATATAGCATGCTTACTTATGTCACTTATTAGACACACCAAGTTAGACTTGGCTTATTTGGAGGCTTCTTCACTATGATACTGATAAACATCTAACAGCTTCACAAGTTTCAGCTGATTCTGATATTTTAAATATTCAATGATCTTCTTTCTATTGCTGAGGCATTGCCTTGATAATAGACTCCCCTCCAAAATGGAGACCTTAAGTTGTGATACCCCTTACTGAGACGATCAAGAGAAAAAACAAAAAAATAACATTTTTCTGCTTGTTTGATTATATATTCTTTATTATTGGAATATATAACACCAGACGGCTATTTGCTTAACCATTCTCGCACCACCAAAATTTCAGGCCTCACTATAATCTTGATCTTGTGAGCATTTCAGTTGGTGGGCAAGTTTTATCAATTGACCCATCAGTGTTTGCAACATCAAACAACCAAGGAACAATAGTTGATTCTGGGACAACTTTGGCATACTTAGCTGATGAAGCTTATGATGCATTCGTCAATGCTGTAAGTATTGAGCTAGATTTTACCGATACTTGGACATTAAAAAAATTATGCTTTTCCCCTGCTATGCTTGTCTTTCTGGTTAATGAAACACAAGCACTATATGATTGTAAAGCATGAGGTTAATGATTTCATTATTCTCTTGTTGCGCAGATTACAAACACGGTTTCACAAACTGTGCGCCCTGTTCTTTCCAAGGGAAATCAATGCTACCTAATAACCTCCAGGTTAAATTTCCTAAGATATTATTCTTTCATTTTGTTTCATCAAGTGTTCAATCTTATTCGATTATAGTAATTGACATTATTTTAACATTCTGTTCAGTGTAACTTACATATTCCCTCAAGTTAGTCTGAACTTTGCTGGTGGCGCATCCATGATTTTAAATCCTCAGGACTATCTTGTACAGCAGAATTCTATTGTGAGTCGTCTAAAGCTTTGGACATGCATAGATAGATTTCTATCTACTTGTACCTTATTCTCTTTCTATTATATTGTAGAGAATGTGTCTGATTTTCTTCATTTGGACAAAATTGTTGGGTGGGGTCCCTTCAACTGGTTCCATAAATTTGACAAGCTCTTTTTCATAACTCTTGCCCCCTTCTAGTCATTTTTATTTTCCCCCATAAATTCAATCTTTAACATTATTAGCTGCTGCGTTTGTTATCTGTGTTCCTTCCCTGATGTTCTTTCATTTTTCTTTTCTTTATTTACTACATCCATCTAATCATTAGCCCATGTTTCAATTGCAAAGTGGAAGCGTATTGAAACAAGCTTTAAAGTTTAACAGTAACAAGAACGAAGTTCCTTGTCTATGTCATGTTTTTTATTTCATATCCCGAATTTCTAAATGGAAACGTGACTTTCTTTTTTACAGGGTGGTGCTGCAGTTTGGTGCATTGGCTTTCAGAAAATTCAGGGTCAAGGGATAACAATTTTAGGAGGTATTTTCACTGCACAAAATATTTTGATAGCTTGGAATGTTTATGTACCTAGTTGGGTGACTTCATGAATGTTGAGCCTTCTGAAAATTGTTTTATTTTCATAATTAGTTATTTATATGTGTAAGATTCCTAGTGCATGAAATTGTAGTGGTTTGATTACTGAGCTGGTTGATTTTTGTCTCCATGATGAAAGCGGCAACGCAGATTAAGCTTTTCACTATCTTCTGTTTTGCAGATCTTGTTCTGAAAGACAAAATCTTCGTTTATGATCTGGCAAATCAACGGATTGGATGGACGAACTATGACTGTAAGTGTAAATTACCCTGCTAAAACTGGCCTCAGGATTCCACATGAGAATATATTTTTGCAAATAACCTACACTGCAACAATCTTCTCAATCCTGTAAACTGGCGCTTTCACCATAACAGTGTTACAGATTAATAATGATGTCAATTGAAGTTTTAAACTGATCTTATGTGTTAGAAGTAGACATTTTAGACACCAAATACCACAAGAAAATTTTTTGTCATTTGATTTCACCAAGGTTACATCAAACACTGAATCTGCTCCCTTGTGTGTGTGATTAGGTTCAACGTCTGTCAATGTCTCTGCAAATGCTAATACAGGAAGAACTGAATTTGTAAATGCGGGGCAGATTAGCAATGATGGTTCCTCGTGGGATCAACTCCGGAGCATGAGAGCTTTACTTCCACATATGTTCGCGCTTGCCGGTCTACTGTTTTCGTAGCATATACTGCAAGGATTCCGGAATTAACACTCTCGGTTTCATTGTATAATTTCTCTCCGGTTTGCATTTATAGTTGTTCGTATTTATAACAATGGGGAGAACCATGATTAATTGTTTGATTGCTTCTAACTTGTGCAATGCAATTGTAGGTTATATTTTCAGGGCTCTGTTTTTCTTTGGAGTGTATCTTCGTCAGCCACGTAGAATTATAGATTTAGGGTTTACTTTATTGGCGGTGGTGTAAATTACATTCATACAGGATCATCTTAACAGCAAATTTAATTTATACAATCCTTCTTGCATTTGTTTCTTCAAGTTATTCCTTTTAATCTGTGCTTCCATTGATTTTACTTTTAACTTCTAACGAGTTAGTAGGAAAAAAGAAAAAAACAAATATTACTGTCACAAGTACCTTTTTTATCTTCTTTTTTTCCTTCTTAAGGGTAATTCTATTAATACCCCATAAGAGTTTTTTTTTTTTTTTGGGAATTTCTAAATGTACTACGATTTTTTTTATTCACACCTTATCTCTTTGTTATTAAAATTTTTTATAAATGAAATTATTTAAATATCTTTCTCACAAGTTTTTAGATATACTAATATGATAAGTTTTATAATTTTTTTGAAAATTAATTTTTGAAAAATTGTATAACTTATCGAAAATATTTTTTCAAAAAATTATATTAAAATCCATTTTCATGAAGGAAAGGATTAAAATTTTAAGAAAGAAAATAAAAAAAGGGAATTATTAAAAATTTTTATTAATCAGTGTAATGAAAAAAGTTATTATTAGAAAAATTATAAAATTTAAAATTAATAAAAAAAGTTAATTATATTATTTTGATTTTAAAAAAAAATAAAATCTTATAAGGTCTTAATTAGATATTTCATTTTTTAATGTTTCAAATGATGGTGATGAAATTATAAGATCTTATTAACATATAAAAATTAAAATTTCTTGCAGCTATACAATTAATATTATTGAATACTATTAATTTTGTTAAAATTTAATATGCTAACCAGAGAAACTCATCTTAATAAATCGATGAAAAATTTTCTCCAAAAAGTGCAATTTAATTAAAGTTATTATAAAATTTTAATAATCAATATAAAAAATTACATTTATTATTTTATCTTCAATTTAATTAAGACCTCATAAAATTTTATTATTTCTCTTAGATCAAAATAGTAAAATTAAATTTTTTATTAATTTTAAAATTTATAATTTTTTCTAATAATAAAATTTTTCATTAATTAATTCATAAAAATTTTTAATAAAATTCTCTTTTTTGTAATTTTAATTAAAATTTGATTCCTTAAAACTTTTTGAAAATTTATTTTTAAAAAGTTATGACATTTCATAAATATATTTCTGAAAAATTATATAACTTATCGAATATAAATATTCAAAAACTTGTGAAAAAGATAATTACTTAATTTTCCTTATAAAAAATTTTAAAGAAAAGAAAAGCAAGGATATGAAAATAAAAAATGGTGGTGCATTTAAAAGCACTCCTTTTTTTCAAAATTATTTTAAATAAAATTACTTAATTATTATTTTTCTTTTCCCTTAACATGCTTTTTATTTTTTAGCTTCTAGATTTGCTTTAAAATTTTCTGTAAGATCTTTTTTTCAACTAGTTTTTTTCAAACCTATGTGTAATTTTTTTTTTTAAACTTCCATATATGCATTTTCGAATAAATTATATTTACCAAATATACATATCTAAAAGCTTTAAAATCGAAATAAAATAAATAATTAAGTAATCTCACTTAAAAATTTTAAAAAAATGAACTGTAAAGAGAAAATAAGATTCTGTTTAAAATCTTCCTTTTTCTAAAATGGAAAAACAGCTAGTTGTCCATCACTTAAATTAATTTATATCCAATTCTACACATTAACCAATTTCCATCAACTCTACAAATAGACTTAGCTTATATAAATACGAAAATTATATATCACAATTTATTTGGATATAAAAAAACGCATAATATATTTTTAAGTTTTATGAACTCATTATATTTGCTTAAATTGTCATACATATTACATTCATTTTTTTTTTTGAATTATTTTCATGTTTTAAATTGACAGATGCAAAGATATTCCTGAACTTATTTCAGATAAAAATAATATATATTTCAAAATATTTTTGTTTTGTTAGCCCCTTCAGCCAGCAAATAGCTAAAAATACAATTTGCTTGTCAAAGGCCAAAAAATGAAATCCAACTTCAAAAGATATTTTTTTCATTAAACATGTTTTGAGATAATAGTTTTACCGTGTACAAACCATAGATGGCCCTCTGCCAATAGATCAAAACGATTCAAAAGTGTCCAGCTTTAAAACCCTATGCCTGTGACATGTACACAAAATCCAACCATGCCCTCAACCACCCAAAAAAAAAAAAAAAAGTCAGGAAGGGCATTCCCAGACTTGTAAGGATATCAAATTGTTCAAAAAGCTATTGACAATAAAACAATAACCCAAAGGCAAAAGAGTATGGGATTTAAGGGCTTTAAGCTAACCCTAAATAAGCACCCCCCATTAACTAAGGAAGCATATATTGATGAAAGAAACCCCAAACAGGAAGAACAGAGACAGCCACGTCTATTCAGCAGTAAAACATTACTTCCTTCACATTGTCTTTGATGGAGGGGAGGGGCCGAAACTCAAGATTTCTGTCCCTTGCTTGTCGTCCCCCACTTGTAGAGCCACTGTCCGAAGTCTCATCCTCCACATAATAGCGTGCCCGAAAAGCTGCTAAATGGGCATAATATGCCGGAGGCACTGCGAATGAAATCAAAATATTATCTGTTAAGACTGGCTTACAAATAAACAAGTGATACACTGAAATCAGACTTAAGTGTAGTTAAACAAAAAGATCACCAACCTATGGAAACTGACCGAGTACACCTTGCATACCTGTTAATGAGTAGAATTATTATATAATTAGTACTAATCTGAGTATTATTTATTCACATTGTTTCAGATTATAGAGAAAGAAGTAAACACATACGTGTAACATAAATTGTTTGTAAGCACTTGCAAGATGTCCGCGGTGAAATTGTTTTCATCATACAACACATGGTAATGTGTGGGCTTGCTTGTTCCCTGCATAAGAAAAATAGAAACTTTAAAAAAAAGACATAGTATCAGACAAAAGGAGCAGATCAAAATAGTATAAATTGATCATCCTATCAGCAGAAGGCAAGCCTAGTTTACCTGGATTCCGGCATGGCTATTGAGATAAAAATCGAATTCAGTGGGGTGGCAAATGCTAGTATCAACAACAGTACCTGCAAAACATGGTTATAGTAAAAAGTTGATACAATTCTGCAGAAAGGTAGGTCAAGAGAATTTGATCAATCCTTATTACAAGATTTATTACCTGGTAAAATATTGCCACTCCTGTCCATTTGGTCACGTTCAGTAGGAAATAAGCGAGTATGATGCCTCTTCTGCACTACAACAAATGTAACTGGTGGCATATATCCATCCTCTAGTGAGGCACAAGCCTGGAAGGAACACAACTACTGGCATCAGCAAGCGCAAACACCAAACATTGCATAAATGAAACATAGCAGATTTTACTAAGCAAACTCCCTCAGTTGAAAATCCTAAATCCATAAAATCTTCATTTTCTGTTTAAAGTAAATGCACTGGTAATTAAATATACAAAGAACCATATGCACACACCACAGCATTTAAAATAAAGTTAGTTACGAGATTATAACACAATCACCATAAGCTGAAGTTGATGGCAGGTGCGATAGACTTTTCTAAAAGACACAGCTGTTACTTAGTCCATGTGAGAGCGCATTTTAACAAACCCCCCCTTCCCCCCACCCCAAATCAAAAATTAAAATTTAATACCTTTCGAATTGCATCCATTTCATAGAGCAAAACTTGATTAAATTGGCCTTCACTAACACCATCTCTGCCAAATTAAAAAACACATTATCAGCAATGCTGCGAAAACACATTCAAGGATTTGAATGATCAGAAACAAAGGCTACCTGTAGAAAATAATCCTGTAAGGTTTTTGTCCAGTTGACCTAAAAAAAGCCACAAGCAATTCTCTGCGGAAAACAAAAAATTTTTTAGGAAATATGTCAAGTCTTCTAACAAGTATAACATGATCCTAAAATAAACCATTTCCACCTCCATACCTTATCATTCCACCATGAACTACACCCTTTTGTGGATCTGGAACTGTTCTATAAAGATCCTGTATTATTTCCTCCCGATGAGGCTGTGCAGAGACAATTCCGCGATACTTGGTTACCTCTGGCCAATCCATTGAAGCAACTACCTGCAGCCAGTAAACCACCTTTAACATGATGAAGGAACAGAAAAGAGACAATAGAGAACATGACTATACTTACTGCAGCTATTGAAGAACTAGAATCTTCCCCAGGCGGTGGATGAGTGACATCCGCACCAAAAATAATTGTAGGGTGATCAGACACACGTGGAATTTTTTTTTGAATGGCATCAATCAGCACCGTATTTCGTCCCCCAACCTAGTCAATTTACAACTCTCAAAAATGATTAAAAAATAATAAAGGAGCCAACATGAATATCAAATTACCCATGAGGCAGGAAAAGTACCTTCACATTGATCTTCAGAGCAACATTTTCAAAATATTGATTGCTAAACCTTGCAGCTTGCTTGGGCTGGCAACATTGGGAAACAATACCAAGCTCCGTTTCGCATATTCGTTTAATTTTCCCTGTAAGCAAAAGATTTTAGTTGCATGGAGAAAACTCAGCATTATCCAAATATTTGAAATCTGGATCTCTTACCATAAGAACCAGTCTGATCAGGTAAGATAATTATCAACAACTGAAGTGGCCTCTTCATGCCTGTAGACTCCTTGTAAATTTCCAAGAGAGCTTGATCAATTCTATTAGGACGAGCTGAACGAATACGAATAGAAGCAGTTTGGCAGAATACCTTAGATAACAACCAAAAGGAAAATAAAGTCAGTCAATTACTAGAAAACAAGCATGATATCTGCACCTAAGAAACCACACAGCATACCATTCCTTTGCTGTTGCACATTTTCACGAGCTCATAACAAAAGTCTTCTGACATATTAGCATATTCTAAGGAGAAGTTCACGCAAGTCCAAAAATCCACTTTCCCACCATTGACCATTTTCTGCGAACCAAAAATTAAATAGTTTCAGTGAAAATCCTGGTATACCAAAAGTTCACACAAATGACTCCTTTTGCCTTCAGGTTCCAATGGCTATTTATATAGGGTGCTATTACTAGTAACTCCTAATAGACCATCATTCTTCTAAAACCTCAAAATCAAGAAAAAGCATCATGTCCCAAAATTTTAGCTGGTTACAGTATTAAAAGTTCTCCAATCCTGCTCAGTGCTTATAAAGTACAAATTCCTCAAAAGAATTTAAGACACATTACAATGTAAAATATACACCATGGACACACATAAGAACTCTTGAATGGAACTGGAAAAGAGATGTAATTCCTGTTCCTTTAGAAACTGTAAGATCTTGGACTCAAGAAGGAGCCAAGCATCATTTTGACACAGTTCTGATTCCTCTATTTTTTGGAAGGAAACATCAAAGAGAATCTTTTTCATAGGAAAGAATGACACAGCCTGAAAGAACTAGTATACCACCTTGTTGATCATGTTCCATGCACCAAACCCAGGTTTGACACTTCGTTCTTGTCCACTTTCATGATACTTAAGCTGCATGAAGCAAAACAAGCAAACAACAAATTTTATATTAAGATAGCAACTATGATTTCTCTTGAAAATATAACATATTGGCATGTAATTACCATAGGAGGAGGTAAAACTCGGGCATCAACCAATGTATGTTCTCTTCGAACTTGAATTCCAAATTCTTTATCTACAAGATCATCTCCCTGGAAATTATTAACCCTCACCATCTGCAGCAACATAATAGGCAAGTGCAATCACAATTCTTAATTAATCAACAAAACAATAAATGCCGCTATGAGAAGAAAGTATCCAATATTGTTGTACCTTGTTAATATTCTCCTCCCTATCACGTGGACGTTGACAGGTTGCTTTCAATAGTGCCTTTACTTGTTGCTCATTTAGCTTTTTTGTATATCTCTGTCCCTCAACAATCCTGCACAGCTGTATAACAAACAAAATCAAATACGAGAAAAGAGAGAAAAACATCAGTACACAAAGTCATAAGGAATAAAAAAAGAAGAAAATAATTCCATATTCATTTAAAAGTGAACCTCCATTGGCAAGTAGACAGGTTTTGATTCACTTCCACATTGAAGGGCAGGCAAAGATGCATATTTAAGCCCAATGTTGTATTTATCACGGAAATACTGAACCACAGACACATTTCTTGTCATCAAGAGTAAACCTAGAAAAACCAAAAATTGGACAAAAGCATAATGAGAATAAATAGGAAGAAAGAAAAGCAAGTAGATACGGAAAAAAGAGTAGTAGATCGTTGGGACAATATAACAGAGGCTAAAAAGCTTGAGGAATACAAATGTAAGTACAAATATTTTACTTATTACAGAAATCCTCATTCAAAAAATTTGCAATCTGCTTAGTATCATCCAAAAGGGTAGTTTAAGGTCTTTGCACAATGACGATGGTAGTCATTGACTCACATATCTAAGCATAAAAGATATTTTAGAACAAGTCGATTATGACCAAATACCAACAATTGTGAACTGCAACTAAAAAGAACTCCGATTTGATTTGAATATGGAACTTACATAAGAAGTACACATATGAAACAGACACAACAAACAAAAAATTGTAAAGAACAGAAGTCACCCAAAAACAATTTTACAATACTGGCCTTATATTAGCACTTCAAATATTTATAGTAAGTATAGTATTATAAAGAACTCACGTTAACTGGCTTATTGGCTCTCTAGATATGCCTGCGATCTTGCAAGTTTTTGCATAATCCATGTGGTTAAGACGAACCCTTACTCCTTTCAAGGCCTTTTTCACCTAAAAATCATGGCAATATATATAAAGACTATGAATTAAATAAGTAACTAAACGAACAAAATGGTTAAACAGAGGGATAAGGTGAACGATACTTTAATACGATCTTGATCAGACAGAGGCCTTGACAGGTTTGGATTCTTGAAATGTTTGGTAACAAACTCCGTAACTAAAATTGGCTCATAGAATGATCGAGCAGAGACATCTGTAAAGAGAAATCAGACATTCAAAAAGAAAAACCAGTACAACTACAACTAAAATATTAAGTAAAAATGATTACACAAATTGTAAAACGTAAATGGCAACAATCCTGGAGTAGCTACCAATATTAAGAGATAAACCCATCTGTGTGGGCCGAAGACTCTGATAATAACCCATCCAGTACTCTACTCCATTACCAAGTTCTCCTTTACGACCTAGTTGTGTACTGAAAAATGACCTTCCCACCACAGTATAACTGCAAAAGAAAGTTTCAAATAGATCAAACCACTATAGAGGCATATAAATTTAGTTTCAGCAATTTAATAGCAAATGCTGAACATTGTTAGAAACAGGCAAGTACTTCTCAGATGGTTTAGCCCTAAGAACAATATCCAGCACTTGAATAGTTTCTTGAGGACATTCAAAATGTCTTCCACGCAAGAACTCCTGCAGATAATGAAGATCAGGCTTGGATGCCAACTTGATAGCCACCTTAAATGACCGTTCCTTCCTGCAGTAACACACAACCAGACAAATCACCCTTAAACATCAATGATACCAAATAAAAAGAAAAATACACTGACATCATCATAATATTCAATAATATTACCTTGCAGAACTAGATGAACCACGAGAGCCATCTTCGTCGTTTACCTTGACAACAAACTCCTTTGAGTCAAATGGCAGGGCACCTGCTGTGTACAAGCTCTTCCGGCCATCATAGGCTGGACACCGACGACCAAGATGTGACTCCTTGTACGACTCAGTAAGTTGTTTCATTATAGCTCTGTTCAACTTCTTTGAGGGTACCTCAGGAGTTATGGAAACCTAAAAGCCATAAATAAAGTACCAAAAGCCATTAAAAGAAAAGGGTAGAAAATACAAAAATAAACAGAGATGACAATGAGTTAAAGAAATAACCAAACAGAAGAAACCACTAAATTCAAAGAATAGGGACTAAATTCAAAATGTGGAAATAATTCTATCAAAAAAGTGGAAATAATTTTAAAAAATTATTAACAGTTAAAATCTTCTTTAATTTGTTTCTAACATAAATTTAAGACAACAATCTATAAAACATATTGCTAAAGCCTTCCAAATACTGAAATTGAAATGTCAAATAAAAACAGAGATATAAGGCATAAGCAAAAAAGAACAAAAGAAAAAAAAAAGAGAGAGAACTAACAAAAATAGAACGATTAAAACAACAAAATTGCCGAAAATGACAAAGAAAATAGCGACTAGAAATCAATGAGAGAGAGAGTTACATCGTAGTGATGAAGATCATGATAAGCAACATCAACGAAGAAATGATTGGCTCTAACCCTGCATTTTCTACCGACCGTACCCAGACCTGGCCTGGGCGGGAACCTAATCGCCTTTGAGGACGAAGGAGGAAGAGGAGGCGTCGTCGTCGCACCCCGCGGCTCCAATGTAAGCTTCTCGGTGACCTCCCTGCTCAGTGATTCCGCACCAGAACTCGACGAAGGATGATGCGCCCGAGAAGTAGAGGTTGCCGGCGTAGTTGGAGGAGGTGGTTGAGTTGGAGCCACCTCAAGAGGAGGACCAGAGGATCCACGTCTTCTACCAGAGGCACGACCTCTTCCTCTGTCACCGCTGCCACCACGAGGGAAAGACTGCGACGGTTGACCGCGACCAGATTCCCGTCCCCGGCCACGTCCACCACCGCCGCGGCCACCACCGACACGTCCAGACATTGCCGTTAAACAATAAGAAAACTAATAGTGTCAAGAAGAAAATCCAAAAGGGGATAAACAGCAAAAACAAAATTGATAGTGACACCAGACACCGGTCGGCTTTGAATGACTCTCTAAATTGAAAATACCAAGAGAAGTGGGAGCGAGAGTAGCATTTATATAGTAGAAGCGAACAGAGACTTGGGAAGACGTGTAAAATATGACTGACTTAATGGGTGAAACTTTGAAACGAAAATGACGAGATGAATATGGGTTCGGGGTGAATTTATTTTTTAAGTTTAAATTAATTTAAAAATTAAAATTAAATTAAATATATTAATTATTAGTATATAATATAATTTAACTAAGTGATCTCGATTCGGAATGTAACCCGAATCAAACTTGACTGGCGGACATGGCGATTGCGTATCGTCTATCTATAAATAACTGCCATTTCTTAATGATGAATTTGCCCTTCGTGTTTTAACAAAATATAGGATGAGTCCTACTAAAATCTTTTGCAAGCGAATTTGTCGCAGTGGCCTTTGTCTTGCTGCCGAAATTTTGCACGTTTTAAGGGTCGGGATACGACGAATTCGGAGGATCAACGATGTAGTCGAGAATGTTAGTTTTTTTTTTATTAAAATCTGCAATAAGATTTACGACAATAAAGGAAAGTTCGTAATTTCGTATAAATTTAAGGGTGTAACAGTCAATACAACGAAGGGGCAAAGCATAGTCTATCGCCATCGTATCGGGGAACATATCTGCATAGGCGAGGGCAATTAGGCCAGCAAAACGCAAAGCACCCTACCACCACTGGCCATCCACCCTCAGCTCACGCCATATTTATCCCAAAGCCACGTACGACCAATCCCTGAAATGCCCCTGCCCACGCGGACTCTCTTACTATACAAATAAAACTCAGAGATGAGATGGGGCCCTCAATGGAACTTCTCCAACACGTGTCAGTCACAATGCTGAGTTTAGTACTATATTAAAACGACAAAGTCACAAAGTAAATGAAAGGGAAAAACAATGCTTTTTTTTTTTTTCTGCTATAACCAGTCAGCGGCGGCGCCTATGCGATGATGATTTCTATGAGTCGCTAGAGCTATGGTGTGGGCTCCATCGTTGAAGATTTTCTATTTACAGTTTTATTTTTTCAATTAAAGTGGGAACAATTTTCCGTACGGTCAATGGACTTTTGGGCGATTATATATAAGAGAAAGGGACAAAAGTGGAATTATAAAATCAGATCCAATGAAAGGAGGGAATGTCTCACGATTCTTCCGAAGGAAGGTGCTTCCGAAGCGGGAAAATTGAAACTACCATAAAATCCTTCATCTTTGGGCCACGTTTCGACCTGCGATTGTGTCTCGGAGACTTTCGACCAATAGGAAAAAGGTTAGTCAGTATCATGTCAAGAGTATGAACACACCGGATAATTTCTGGTCATTGCTTGTCGAAGAAGCTTTTACTTGGAAGAAGAGGTGTCGTTAGTGCGGCCCACTGCAGGTACTAGGAAAGAAAAAAGTGCCGACTTTCTTTATTCAATCTTTTTTTTTTCTTTTTTATGAGGAAATTCTTTCATATCCTTTTCGGTGTTCACACTTCAACATTTTTCCCTGTGAAATCTTTCAACCAAAAAAAAATATTTTATAAAAACATTTTATAAAATGTCAAAGTGGAAATATAAATAATTTTTAATTTTTAAAATAAAATAAAATATTTTATATTAAAAAAAATCATTATTGTAAAATTTAACGAAAGAAATTTTATAATAATAATAATATTTATAAAACAATTCATGATATTCATTTTTAAACAAATGTTTGATATTATTAGAAATATTTAATTATAATTTTATTATAATATGCATAAGATTCATTAAAAAAAAAAGTCGTATTCAGATTTTCATTTTTTGAATCCAACATCTTATAAGAAGGATTTGAATATGTTTCGGAACTCTTTTGTTGCGTGTGTTAAGCAAAGTATAAAGTAGAAATAAAAACCAAGTAATATTCTCCTTGTCTAAAGTTTCTATTCTCTTTTTTTTTTTTGATAAATAAAGCTTATATCTTTACTTTACTTTAGTTTAATTTATTCACTTATCTTTTTTTTTTTCTTTTGACTTAAACTTTTGTTTTAGTATTAAAAAAAAAAATTAGATGATCGAAATATGTGCTGTTCAGTTTTTTACATTTTCCGCATTTCATTGGACAACTTTGAAAAAGCAACTCATAAGTATGAACCGGTCCTTACTTTTAGGTTTTTTTTTAATGTAATTATAAATATTTTATTTAAAAAATTGTACGTATGACATATCAAATTCAATTTTATAAAAATTTATCTTTAAAAAAAATGAATTATTTGGATGTAATGCTCATGTATATGTAATATATAAATAATGTATAGATGTATGTTAATTCTTAATTATGAAAGATTAAACAAATAAATGATTGATTCAAGTGATAAAAAATTTTATTATATTAAGTAATTGTAGAAAAATAATATTTTATAAATTTATTAATTCCAACGTAAATAAATTTATTTTTATAAGTCTGAAAAAAAAATTTCAAACCCAAGAAAACTTGTCTCTAAAAAAATTATATATGAAAGTCTAAAACATTATTCTTTTCAATTTTCCTCCATAATGAAAAACAAATATTAAAGTATCTTTCGTTTTTCATCGGTGAGGAAAGAAACAATCAGTAATAGTAATTTGACAGCCCGAAGTCTCCAAGTCCAAGGTGTTTCCTTTTGCTGCCAGCAAGCAAGACAAATTCCTGATTTTACTCTCTTGAGCACCAAAATCTACCATAACTAATGAAACAACCAATTTTGATCCTGGGAGGTTGCTTTTTACGTTTTGAGGCAGTGAATTTTGTCCATTTCCACTGCTAAAAGTTAGAACATCCCAGTTAAGCTTTCTTGGTGATGGGTTTTTCCTTTTGGAAACTCTAATAATAAACTTTTTAAAATAATCTTCATGTTGAGAGTAATTAATATTCTTGATTTGAATGATGGAACATGAAGGTGCAGAAGTGGTTAAAAAAAAAAAAAGTTTACTTGAGAAAAGAATTTCTCATATGATGGATGAATGGAACAAAGAGAATTAATTATTCTTTTAGGATTTTGGCATAAATTCTTTTTTACTTTATTAATTCTGCCCACGCCAGTGAAAGGTATTCTTTTGCCCTTTTTACCGACTTTTCTCTGCCCTTTTTTCACATGAACCGAAAGATATCAAATCGGAGATGAGGTTGGTTCCTGGAAAAACTAATGACACGGATTTAGATTTAGTGGATCGTGTATGTATATGATATAAATATTAAATTTTATATATATATATAATATTTTATATAAAAATTATATGTTATAATTTATATTGATGTAAAAAATAAAATATATTTTTTATTTTATTAAATAAATAAATAATTATTAATAAAATTTTAAATTATATTATTTTATATTTTTAAATCATATTATATTTTAAATTATTAAAATAAAAAGGTGTCAAATTTGTTAAAAAAATAAAATCAAGAGATGTCAGGAGCATTTCTATGTTGAGTCAATCACGTGTATAAAGAATGAAGAAAGGGGAATTTGAAAAAAGAAAATAATGGATTTCTAGTCTAATTTTAATTTTTTATCTCGTAAATAACAATGCAAATAGTCAGTAATATGCACTATGATGTGATTGTTAAAATGTAGATGACTTGACCATTAATATATAACACACCATTTTCTAAGTGTAGGCCTTACTTTTGACGGAGGAGTCGTTGAAATCAAATTATGACTTAATCTCAACCTAATTGGTTTCCTTTCAAAATCAAAATTGGATGAAATTACTAGGAAAATGGGTTTAATTTTGGTTAAAAAAAATTAAAAAAATAAGTAATTAGTTGATAACAACCAAACTAAAGTCCCTTAAAGTTGAGGTCATATGCTCTTATCATCACCGTGGTAATGAGTACCGCTACTTCATGATTTGTTCCTCGAAGTCAAACATTTTGTATATTGTTTTTCGTGATTTGGGGCCCACAAAATTCCCATCAATCAAGGTTGGTAATTCATCTCAAATTTGTTGCATTCTACCTTGATTTGATCAAGGTTATTTTTTGTAGGTGGGTTTTGGATTTTATTTTATTTTATTTTTTAAATTGGAATAGAATTTTAAGTAAATTAGTTTCCTTTGATATATATATATATATATATATATATAATATTTTTATTATTTATTTAATTTTATATTTATATTTTAAAATAATATTTTATTAATTTTTAATTAAATTAAATATTAAAAATAATATTTTATTAAATTTAAATGATTTTAAATATTTATTATATAAAATTGGATCAAATTTTGAATAAATAAAAATTTGTTTTAATTCGTTGTCATCTCTAAAATCTTTTTGTGATTAATCATATTAATCAAATTAAAATCATAATGTGATAACCTATTAATTTATTCAAAAATTATGACTTATTAACCTTTTAATTTTTAAATTTTAATGTTAAAATTTATATGACACATATATTATTAGTAAAGATATTAAAAAATAAAATATGTAACTATCTCGTAGTCTGATTTATAAAATTAAAAAAATTTATCAAAGAATAATTCTTTGCTTAACATAGAGTCCAATCCAACTCCAACCACTCCACGAGGCCTCGGAGTAATTTCCCATAAACGTTAAAAAAAAAAATTCCTAAATCATATATGCTGAAACCTTTTGCTGCTTTGCAAGAAAGCAGCAGTTATCTTCAGCTACTATTTCCGTACAAATCAGAGACCCCACCGAAACATTTAATTAATTAATATATATATATATATAAATATACAGAGATGAAAATGATGTAAAATTAATTATACTTTATAAACCTGAAGACATTTAAAATTAACCTTGATGATGAATGATGTGAGTAATCTTATTAACGTTTTAAATACATTTTAAAATTAAATTTAAATTAAAAATAAAATTTGGGTCGGATCCAAATTATAAAAAACTCATGTATAAGACCCGATTTTTGAACCGTCTTCATATGGGGCAAGTCTTGAAATATCAATTTTGGTGTTTAGCATATATTCTCTGTAAATCAAGGTTCATTTGCTATTTATCAAAAAACTTTCTAACTTCATTCAAATTATTTAATCAAATATGTAACTTTTTTATGTTTCATTTTTTTAATAAATTTAATAACTATTTTTTATAATTTTGTAATTTTTTTTATTTTCTTGATTGTGAAGTAACAAAAAATAAGAGAAATAAAAAAAAAGTTTGATTCTAAGAACTTATTAGAAAAGGAAAAGGACAAGAAAATTGGAGTGAATTGCTGATGATATAATAAACATGTTTACAAGCGGTTCATCGAAAATTTTATTTATTTATACTTTTAATTATAAAATACAAAAAATGAAGAAAATAGAAAGTTAAATTCTAAGATATTATTAGAAAATGAAAAAGGACAATAAAATTGGAGTGAATTATTCTTTTGGTTCCAAAATCTAATACTGCAACTTGACATTTGTTGATTAACTGATGCAACAAAGCGTTTGTGGCTGTGATGTCTTTACAATTACTTGACCAATGACCATAAGTACATGTTGTAGATTTATAAGGAAAGAAAATTAGTTCTCATATCGACACCATAAAACATAGTTGGATGGACTTTTGATGATAAAGACAATTTGTCATGCTTAATTACTATAATTTGTCATAAAAAATAAAATTTAATCTTAAAATTTTTTTGATTACCAAATCTACTTAATAAAAATTTAAAATCATATTTTATATATTTATTTGATGATGATACCATGTCACAATTATGCGAGAAAATATATTCGATTAATAAATTTATAAAATTATGTTGAGTTGTAATTAAATCAATGAATTTATTAAATATGTTTTCATCAGTTTTTTTTTTTTTTTTCATCATATTGAAATGTCATTTTGATATTAAGCATTGTTTTGGCATTGAATGCATAACTTTTACCGACGTAAAATACAACAATTCAACCTAATGAGAATCCCTTCTCGATGTACTACCAAATTCGATATTCCAAATTCTAATCAGAAGTCCTTGGTTAATCTAATCGCAAATCCATAGAGAATTGATTCATTATGTTCTTGTTATTTGAAAAAGTAGTAAAGGATTTCATTCGTTGCTTGTCGTTGGAAAAATGACCTAGTTATGGAAATTAGACAACTAATGTATGAAAAGAATATAAGTTGCTTTTTTATTAATAAAGTTCAAAGATGCTAGATATTATAAAATAAATGAATAGGGTTACTTACATTAATTTATGTTATGTTTAGATAGATATTAATTAAATAAATAAATGAAAGAAAAAATTTTTTAGAAGGAAATGAAAAGGTATATGTACTAATTATTTTGATAGTTAAAATTAATAAATGAATGAAGAGGAAATAAATTTTAACAATTATTATTTTGACAAACATTGAAAAAGAAATGAAATAATTTATTATAATTTTTTTTATAAAATAACATATAATATACAAATATATCTTTATACTATCTAACTTATATTAACAAATCTTTTTGAACAAACTTAAGCATGTTTTATGTGGTAAGATATATTAACTAATTATTGATTTACTATTAATTTTATATTTAATTTAGTATTTTAATTTTTGTTGATAGCAATTTAGTTTGTTAAAACTTGAAAAATTATAAAATATTTATAAATTACGATATTAATACAATACTCATAAAAAATTATTTTTGTAGAAAGTGTCAATTATATAATCAAATCTAATGTAATAATAAAAATATGAATATAATAATCTTGTTACAAAAATAAAATTTTTTCAACTTTTCATTCCTTAATTTTTTCCTCAAATTAAGATATTAAAAAAGTGGGCCCCTAAATTAAAATATTAAAAAAGTAAGAATTATAAGGGAAACCAAAATTTATTAGATTTTATATCTTTCTTTTTCTTTAAATTAAAAGTTTATCCAACCAAATGAAAGATTTTTCTGTTTTCGTTATTTTTCATTATTTTATTTTCTTTTTCTTCCATTTTCCTTAATCGAAACATAGTGTTAAGCTCTCTCTCTCTTTATATATATATTTGAATAAAAATGATTAAAATTAAAAATATAAGTTTGATTCAAATAATTATGAATTTTAATTTATTTCAATATTTAAAAAAATATAAAACTTACACTAATATAAAAGAATTCTTATAATAGAGAAAATTTTTTGGTTAAAATAATAGTTATCTTAAGTGAATGACATAATCCATGATCTAATTTTTTAATACATGGACAAGCTTTAATATTTGTAATGTATCTTACATTTAATTGATTTATTTTTTAAAAATTTAAAATATTTCATATAATAAATTATGTTTATTTTTTTTACATTTATAACTGACTTACCTTTTACATTTACATGACATATTATAAATAAAAACCTTTTACAATCCAGGTTTCAAATCTTAAATAAAAAATTCAATTATTAAAAACATTTTATTTTCATACATCTAAAAAACCAATATAAATTTTAAGATATATGCAACCATAATTAATATTATATCAATATAAGTCTATATTAGTTTTTAAAATATATTATTATTGTCTTCCATAAATACTTCTCTTTTTTAATTCATACTAAACTCGATAGAATTAAATATTTAGAGTAAGGTCAAAATATCTCAATCCAATCACACAAATAAAAACGAAATTAAACCATCAAGTAAATATATAAGGGACAATAATGTAACGTAGTTCGACTTAATCGACTTACATTCATGGATGAAAAATAAGATCTACTTATTATAAAGACTTATAAACATATAAATTATATCAATCTTACTTAATATATCAATACTTATAAGACCCTTTCAATTTTTTATAATTCTATAAAATATTCTAAACTCAAATCAATATATACTAATATACACTAATGCACTCATAGCTATATGGATTATTTCAGTGTCTTTTAGTTCACTCAAATATAAACATACGTACTTATAAAGATGTTAATTTTCGTTAGTTTTATGGGGTGTCTATCTCATAAAATCTTATAATTTTTTTATATATATTTTTACATATAATTATGTAAAAACGTTACATATTTATAAACATACAAATTTGTTTATTAAAATTTATTTTTTTTATAAATATTTTTATCTATTAAATAATATTTAATCAATTCGAAGCAAATTACTTATGAAATTTGAGTTACTATTTTTAACATTTATATTAATGAAACTCTTAAGTTTGAGTTTGCAGAAAAAAAAAAAAAAAACTTTGATTTTGAGTTCTTTATAATCTCTTTTTGTCTTTGTAGTAATTTCATCTCTGCATGTATAATAAAGATCCAGTGATCAAATTTTGATAATATTTGCTTTGTACTCTAAGCAGACCTAATTTGTGCAACGAAAAACCTGAAGGTTTTGTCAAGAGTTGAACTCATTAGCCGCAACAATGGCTGCCTGAAATCCCAGTACCCTTACCAAGATAAGGCAGAAACCAAAGTTTAAAATTTTCATGATCAAGAGCCAAACAACGTGCTATTGAAATATTTTTTGACGGGGAGGTATAAGCCGCATTTGAAGTCATGCGAGAGTAAAAAAAAAAAAAAAGTTAAAATGGTATTATTTTATATTTAATAAATATTTTATTTTTTATAATTTTATATTTAAATTAAAATTTTTTACTTATAATCAATAAATTTCAAGTAAAATATTTAATATGATATCAAAGTTAATTTTTTAAATTTATTACATAATAATTTTTTTTTTATTTCTACTTACATTATATTTTTATCTCATTCTTTAATTAGGTAAAATTATTTTTCTAACGTGTGAATCACATCAATACTAATACCATCGTCCTTTATATTTTCGCCCTCGAACCTTGGCTCCCTCTATTTACTAGTCCATCACTGAGTCCGTTTGGTGAGTCCATTTGGTTAGGGGGGCCTGCCTCACCAAACGGACTCAGCCGAAGGTTCATGGCTAGTGACGAGGAAGAAAATTCGAGAGTTTGGAATTGGGATTGCATTTAAAGCTTGATCCATATTCTGCTGAAGTCACAGATGAGAGAGTAGGAGTGGTAGAATCTCATAACCAAACAACCCAAATTTAAGCATTGGATCACAGCGCAAAGTTTTATTTGAATGGATGTTAAATTGATTTAAAAAAATTAAAAAAATTATTTAATTATGATCAAAAAAATTATTATAATTATAATTTAAAAATTTTAATAAAAATTTATATTAAATAAATTTTATTAAAATTAATATTTAAATTTAATTATTAATTTATTGAGTTTAACCGCGCTACGTTGAAAATGTGATAAAATCTAATTCTTGGTTAAAGAATCGTTTGCGATCATGTATAAGTGCGATAACAAATTTTTTCATTAACTTATTTAAAAGTAAAATTTTTGGATGATATTTAAAAATTAAAATATTATTTTAATTTAAACTAATTATAAATTTATTTTTAATCAATTGATTGAAAAAAATGTAAAACTTTCGTCGACGTAAAGGCATCCCTACCTGATAAACAAGGTTGCAACTTATAATTTATCTCATTTAACAAACCTCAAAGTAACAGAACCAGAGGCCCAGATCACTAATTACGCAGAGAAAAAATATGTACTGGATTGAAATAAAAAAACAACGTACTGGAAGTTGATGTCATTGTGACGTGTGAGCCATTGACTTCCCACGTGACAAAAATCAACTCCATCTGTAAACGGAAAAAAACTCACATATGTAATTGCACGTTGGCAGACAAAGTGTGGGACCCCAAGATTAGATCATTACAAACTCACACTTTAATATCTATGGCCTACTTCAATCTCGCTTAAATCTAACGACAGACTCAAGCTTATGCGCGTGAAGCTCAAACCACCAAAAAAACTCTCCCACCCCCAAAGCTAAAAGGGACATCACTTTCCAAGAATTTGTAATAGAATTCCTTTCTTTAATTTCCCGGCAAAGTACCCCAAACCCTAATCTTCTCCCACCTCAACCACCTCACAAATCCCTTCTCACCCTTTCTCTCTCTTGAAAAACTCGATTTTTCCATAAAAGTTTCATTTTTTTCAATTGTTTTTTATCAAAATTTCCAGATTTTTGGTTTTTATAAAATCTGGGTTTTTAGATTGAACCCAAAAACATTTGAATTCAATCAAAGCCTGTAAATTTAACTACCCAATTTGTCATTTTGTGTTTTGGGAATGGCTGAGGATAAAAATGGAGATCGAGGTGAAGTGAGTGATTACTCATCAGAAGATGAAGGGACCGAAGATTACAGAAGAGGAGGGTACCATGCGGTGCGAATTGGTGAAACTTTTAAGAATGGTTGCTATGTGGTTCAAAGCAAGCTTGGTTGGGGTCATTTCTCCACCGTTTGGCTCGCTTGGGATACTCAAAGATCGGTATTTTCCTCTTCTTTTTATTGCTTTTGAGTGTTTCTTTTCTCTTCCTTTTATTAGGCTTATTGTCAAAGTTTGATTTTTGGATGGAAACTGTAGAGTTAGGGAAGTTTAGAATTCTTCTGAGTTGGTTGAACTTTTCAAGTGAGACAAGACTTGTATATTTCATTTGTCAATAAACCAAAGAGCAATATAATGAAACGAGCAAACAAGATTTAGGATTTCACCATTGGTTTTGACTGGTTAATCATTAATAAGGTGAAACGAGTCTTGCAATGATGAGAAAATAAGGGAAAAGATTTAGGCCTTGGTTTATTATTTCTTTGTTAAAGAAAAAGGATAATTTTCATTTTTCTCATGGAATATTTATGTGGGTGTGTCAAGAACAATGAAAGGAGTCATTGTAATAGATGCTGGAGAATGTGCATTGCTTTTGATTAATTGAGAGGTCTTATTTCTGCAGCTAAAATTGTGAAGAGTCCAAGATTTGCCTCCTCTCAATTGAGCTTCTGATGCCCTTCATTTGCCAATCAGAGATAATTTTCTCTATATTACATGTTGATTTCATGTTGCAGCATTGTTATAACGATTCTTGTCAATGTGCTTATATACGGCTTTGTTTCTTTTTTAGATTATAAGATGCTTTGTTCGTTAAATTTTGTCTTTTCTTATGTAGAACTGGATCAGCCATTGCCATTTAATTTTCAGTGTTCAACACTTTAACCACATGAGAATTTGTTGTTTGTAGCGTCATGTAGCTTTGAAGATTCAAAAGAGTGCTCAGCACTATACTGAGGCAGCAATGGATGAGATAAAGATCCTTAAGCAGATAGCTGAGGGAGATTCAGATAATAAAAAATGTGTTGTGAAGCTCTTGGATCATTTTAAGCATTCAGGGCCTAATGGGCAGCACATGTGTATGGTATTTGAGTACTTGGGTGATAACCTTTTGACCCTTATCAAGTATAGCGATTATCGAGGGATTCCTCTTCACATGGTTAAAGAGATTTGTCATCATATCCTTGTGGGTCTTGATTATTTGCACCGTGAACTTTCAATCATTCACACTGATTTGAAGCCAGAGAATGTGTTGCTATTGTCAATGATTGATCCATCAAGAGATCCTAGGACATCTGGTGCTCCACTCATCCTTCCAACCAGAAAGGATAAGGTTGTCTTGGAGACTGTTGCTTCAAAAGAAATTAAGAGTTCAAATGGAGAATTGACCAGGAATCAGAAAAAGAAGATTCGAAAGAAGGCTAAGAAGGCAGCTCAAGGTTGTGTAGGGAAGGAAGCTTCTGAGAAAATTGAGACAGATTCCAAGGCTGGTGGTACAGATGACACTAATGCTGATGCAAAATCAAATGAAGTTTCAATTGAAAAACAACCAAATAGTTCTGTGATTAAAGATGAGACAAAGAGTGATGGAATTAACAATGGTAACCAAGGAAAGCAGCGCAATAGAAGGGGGAGCTGTGCAACAAGGAAAAAGTTGCTAGCAGAGGTTGATCTTAAGTGTAAATTGGTTGATTTTGGCAATGCTTGCTGGACATATAAACAATTTACAAATGATATTCAAACCAGGCAGTATAGATGTCCTGAGGTTATCCTTGGATCCAAATACTCAACATCAGCAGATTTATGGTCCTTTGCTTGTATTTGTTTTGAACTCGCTACTGGTGATGTTCTTTTTGATCCTCACAGTGGTGAAAACTATGATCGAGATGAGGTATGCTGAAACCATTCTTGGTTCCTCAAAATTACTCATTTTCCCTTATAACTTTTCAGTGGCACTAGATGCGCACCAAATAAGGTTTTGTTCTATTTTATGTTTGAAGTAATCTTTTCTGTATCCTACAATGGGCAATGAGGTGACTGCCTATTTGTGCAGTGGTGAAAAACGTAAGAAATTCTTAGAAATAGAAAGAACAACATAAGTTGAGATGAAGCCTACCTACCCGTTTTTGTTGTTATTTTTTTTCAATATTATTTTTTCGAATACTGTAGGCAACTACACATTTTCTTGCAATTTTCCTTTGACTTATATTTCTCATTTCCAGGATCACTTGGCTTTGATGATGGAGCTTCTTGGAATGATGCCACGCAAGGTAAGACTCTATGAAAGGAACTCTATGAAAGGAACAAGTTTGCCATCCTCTGCTTTTTGTCTTCATTATTGTTGTTTCAAGGGAACAAAGTTAATCTCGACTGCTTCACACAGTTACGATATACTTTTAAGGTATTGCGTGTTTAATTTTCGCTGTTTGAGTGTCTAAAATATTTTTCTTCAGATTGCATTGGGTGGGCGCTATTCTCGGGATTTTTTCAACAGATATGGAGACTTAAGGCATATCCGTAGGTTACGTTTTTGGCCTCTTAATAAGGTGCTCATGGAAAAGTATGATTTCAGCGAGCAAGATGCTACTGACATGGCTGACTTCCTCATTCCAATACTTGATTTTGTCCCGGAAAAGAGACCCACGGCTGCTCAATGCCTCAGCCATCCTTGGATCATTGCCGGGCCTGGACTGCTGGAACCTTCCACAACTGCTTCTGAACAGCGCACATATGACACTACATTTGAAAGGGGAAGGGAAGAGAAGGTTGACAGGGATGCAATGGAGGCTGGAATAGGGAATATAGCAATTGATGGCGAAGAGTGAAAGCTGTTTGAAACAAACTCCTCCAAAGTTGAAATAAATCTTTTGCTCGCGTGTATTACTTTTGCCAAAAGGCTGCTGCCTGCATTGTTTACTGGCAGCTCTTTACAAGGAACATTGCATTTCCTCGTACGATGACATCTATACCATACCATTTTATAGGGGCCAAGCTTTTTGGGTCGTAGCTCCAGTTTTGAAAGAACCTTTATGAGTATGTGGCTCAAATTTCAAGGCACATGTTGGAACATATAAGGTTCTTAATGGTTGATGGGTCTCATCTACAACAATTTACGTTGTTTCTCCAGAGGATTTTTGAATCAAACTTCTATATCAAATGGAACAGTCAATCCACATTTTCCAAAGAACTATATATATTGCAATTGCCCTATCGGTATAATTATCACAATCTAAGCACATCACTTGATGCACTTTGGAAGCACCATCACGGGAGCCGTATGCAGCCGCCCAATTAGTTTGGGAACAAGAATCTTTGCTGTTGACATCACCTGTCGTTAAACGCAAGAAAGATCAGACTCGGGAAACTATAATTCAATTAGATATCATGGATTTAAAAGTTTCAATACAGGAAAGGAATCATAAATGCCTGAAATAAAAAATGTGTCGATCAAATTAACTATAACAGGTACTCTATAGTTACACTTCGCGCAGTTTAGGGAAGATAAAGGGAGAGCAGAGAAAGCTAAAGAAAGATTTTACGGAACGAGAATGGCCATTTTTTGTTTTTCTTTTCAAGGAGGAAAGGGGGGGGGGGGTTTCAGACCAGAAGTTCAAATGATTTCAGAACATGATTTGGAAGGATTGATCATTTTAGTCTATAGCATTCAGTATCTTTCTTGCTTCTGTTTAACATTTTCCTCTTTTAAGTTCTACAGGGGCTACAGAACTAGTTTTAAGGTAATCAACAACTTACCTAAACTCCTAAATTAAAGTATTTTCCTAGCTTTCAGGTATGAATACATGAGAAAAAATGCCACAACAGCGCCAACAATAATCCCTGCTGTGGTTAGCCAGAACGCAAACTGCACCACATTAAGAATAGGGTAAGTTAGCATGGCAAAGTGAAAATCACATCAATACGAATGAATTAAGCAGTAAGAAGACACTGAATATTCAAACTTTTACTACATACCACATGTTCTTCCAGATAGGACCTCAAGTTCATGCCAAAAATACCTGAAAAACAGGAAATATAATATTGAGCCCCTTGACATGGATGCTCAAACTGACATACATGCCACAAATAGTAAATCAAGAGATGATACATCTATGCTAGCCATCAGCACTATAACTCCCCCCCCCCCTTTTTTCCCTCTTTAACTGATTCGAAACATAAGCAGTTTCTTTAGGTCCCATCCTCTCCCACATAACCAAATAAAAAAATTATCACCATATTTCAAATAATAAGTCCATGAACTAGCCAATGACTGTACCGAAACCAAGTTACAATTTTATTTGTCACATGATCGTCAAGCATCCTAATGAATCATGATTTGTGGCATCTAAGATTTACAGTTCTATACTGGATAAGCCATGAAGATTCCTAAAACCAGGTATGTGGTCAGTTCTTGTTTTAGCTGCCATTCAGCAATGCTCAATCACAAGAATCTAAGCAACTCATGCGGATAAATTATAGTAATCAGAACACCATGCTTATGTTAAGCAATTCCAGTATGTAAACAATAGAGGCTTGGCTTCTATTTTCTTGCGGGAGGAAGGACAAACCTGCAACTAGAGCACCAACAGAAACACAAAATGTCCCAACCTGAAGAAGTAGCTCCACCCTGCTTACCTCAAGCCTCCGAGAGCTGATAAAAATAGTTAAACAACCCTATTTCATTAGCTAAAGGATTGTGGATTCAGATGCAAGAGAAATATAAACTAGAAATGATTCTGAAAACTCAAATCATCAAAATCACAGATAAGAGAAACATGGGATTGTGGAGGATAAAGTATTGAATATTGACAAAAACCCAAATGAAATGGTAATGCTGAAAACAGAAGTAAATCAAACTTCATCAAGACCTTAAATTGACAGCAATAGAATCTTCCATTTCTTTTGCAGAATCAAGAAGCCTTTCGGCCTGACCATGGCAAGATTCACATCTGCAAATGCAACAATACATTATAATCAATTATAGCCATTGAAAACGTAACATGCCTACAAACAAATAACCAGAGAAAATAAATGATAATCCTGTTTGATGCACAAACTACAAACTAGATATACATCATAAAACTAAGGAAAAACCTTTGAAGATAATTTTCCAAAAGCATCTCGATCTCTTCCTCCTCTTCTGCAAAATGACCCAATCAAACCAAATTAGAACTCTTGTTAAAAAAAGCACATTAGAACTGAGATTAATAAGAACAGTTTACCTTCAGCGATCAGCTTTTCTAAGGGTACAGAACATTCCACATCATCATTTCCCCTTTTTAGAGTACAGTTTCTTCCCATAATAGATATACGACGTATTTCATGGGGATCTTCCAAAAGATCAAGCAGCATTTGTCTAAGAGCCCCTGCTCTTGAACCCAATTCAACCTTGCATGACAAAATGAAAAGAAAAGATAAGATATTTAATCATTTACTATTATGCAATTAAACAAGATTTTGAAAAGTTAATATACCAAAGTCTGCTTGCTAATACGAAGTTGCTCCAATATGTCACCAGTTAGTTTGTTAGGCAACACTTCAAGCAGAGCTTGAACCTATGCAAATGAAAGCGCTAATCGTTATTAAACAGGTTCATACTATCACAAACTATCACTTAATGACACTGTAAAACACAAGGCATTCAAGGCACAAACTTGTAAGCTCAGAAGGAAGAAATTTTGCATTACATGCATACAGGAAAAGGAAATTAAAATGAAATAACATGATGAAGAATTGCTTATAGCAATTTCAAGTTCTCCTTAATTAATCATAGTGAAAATAATAATTGTTAGGGTGTATAAATTCTAGGGAAAACATATATTTGAATTTTATATAAAGAATTGTCAGAGAACAGTTAGAATAAGTAATTCTTTAAGGCATGCTTAGAGTACATGATAATAACCCAAAACAAGACTTGCAAATGAGCAAACCAAGCACCTCGTGAGTCAAGCCATAGCTAAATAAGTTTGGCTTGTTCAAGCTTTTATTAGGCGCAAGCTTGACTCCTTTACATAAATAAGCTTAGCTAAAATTGTTTTCAACAGCAAAAACAAGCTTCTGCACAAAGTTCAAGTTTGAGCTCATTCATGGATAACAATTATTCTAAAATAGATAAAGCCTTCTTGTTTATATGAAATTAAGACAGTGTTACAAGGAACTTAGGTATTCAATAGGAACAAATAGCTCAATAAAAGAATATTACATACATATCATATATCATTTAGATGAGCCTGTACATCAGTTGTTTTTACAAGTTAATGATCAAGAGTTTCTTATTAGCATAAACAAGCTAAAGTGCTAAACACCCACTTGCTCAAACTTAGCTTACTTAACAAAATGATCAAGCTTGAACTTGTTTATTAGATTTAATAAACAAACAAAAGCCAACACCACAAGTTTCAAGTTGATCAAGAGCAACTTGTTTTCATTGCAGCTGTTTGAGGAATAAGACAATTAGAAACATCTAAAAGGGGGCTAAAAGTGATTACTTAAGCATACTTCTCAAGTGTTTTTAATAGCTATTTTTAACTAGAAGGCCAATGAGTTCTCTAAGTGTGTGTGTAAGAGACAAGAGAGAGGAAAGATATATAAATAAATGACAAAAAAGACATGGAACTACTGCCTATAAAGAATTTCTTGAATCAGCAATTCTTTCCTATTGTACGGCCACTAGGAACTTGAAAACCATTTTCTACTGAAATTTGCTTGCAACCACTATAGCAAATGTCTAGGAGATTGGTGGTGTGCAGCTTCATGACAGCTTTGTCAATTCACCATAAAGCTTTTAAAAGAGAAAAATGAAAATGAAAAACAAGAAACAAACAAAAAATATACTCACTATGTTCCCATACTCACACGAGGTTCTAAATCCATTAGTCTCTGCTCCAAATGCTGTATTCGTGAAAGTAACGCTGCTTCAACAACCTGAAAGTACCACACCAAAAGTCTCTCATAAAGATCAGATGTTTAAGATTATAGCTTCACACCAGTGGACACCACACAAATCACTTCATTCATCAGAATCTAAAATCAGGGGTGCTAAGTAAGACACAAACCTCAAGCTCGAATGGCATGCAATGCCCTCCATTCATGTTATTCAGTCGAGGCAATAATGTGTCCGTAAAAGCCTTTCCACCTTTACTAAAAATGATCAACACAAGCAACAAGTTCAACAATGTCAGTTCAACGAGACGAAACAATGAGACCGTATTCTCAAAGATGCAGAAGAAGAGATTACCAATTATAGTCGAATATAAGAACACGATCTCGCATTGCTATTGCTCTTAATGATCCCAGATTAAGCAAAATTGCATGCTCTCGTACCTTAGACCATGGAATAGGGAATATGAGTTTGCAAGCACATTTTAGACAGAAATACGTGGAAACAAAGGAAACAAACTGATACCCAAAGCCAAGACATTGGACCCATGTATGGCAAATAAAAGAATTAGCATGAAATAAAATAGCACAAATGTCTGCAACCAGAAGAGATGGTGCTGAGTTTGTCAAAAACAATGATGGGTCAACACTCCGGATATCTCTTGGACGAAGACCTAAGCAAAAAAAAGATCAAAATTAATCCACAATAAATTAAAAAAAAAAAGCTTTTTTTTTTTTTCTGCAATTAAAGCTTAAGAACGAGAAACGACTAAGAAATGAAGATTACAGTACCACTGGATTTCAATAATTGACGTCGGTTTATCTTCCTTATAGATACTACTCCATTTGCCTTCACCTCGACCACCTTTAGCGATTGAAAAAAAAAAAAAAAAACAAAATTAAACGCCAGAAATAAAATTATAAACCCTTCAAAAGTAGTAAAAAGGAAAAAAAATCCAAAATTGGAATGCAACTTGAAAAATCCTAAAAACGTTAATTCATATTAGCACAAAAACTCATAATACGTGATTGTATGCAACAGCAAATAAACTGTAGTGATGCTCCAATTTCTTTCTTGTTTTTTCTCATAAATTTTCTTCTTTTTCTTTGTTGTGAGCAATAATTTATCTTAGATTATAAATTAATGAAAAAAGTAGGCAACTATTTATCTTTAAAAAATAAAGGAAAAGTAAAAAAACCTCATAAACAGGCTCACGAATTCCAAGCAAGAGAGAATCACTGGTAGAGGAAGTGATCCTCTGCGTCGCAACCGCAGAACTCTGTTTTTGCTGCACCTTCGAATCTTCCCTCTCTCCATCATCATCATCATCATCCTCACCGACATTCTCAGCGGCCAATGTTCCCGGCTTGCTCAAACGATCTTGTTCCGTAGATGATCTAGCGAAGCACTTAATCCTCTTAGAAGACGGTTTCGCTGCGACCGGAAGTAGTGGAACTCCGCTCTTTTGAAGGAAGATCGGAGAAGAGTTTGGCCATGGAGACCCGAAGAGAAGATAATGTACGGACGGAGATGGAGATTTAACAGAGAATTGGAGAAGATTTGGAACAGAAGGAGGAGAGGTAGTTACCGCCATTCTGGCTACTGCTTGTAATGAAAATGTAACTGAATTTTGGTGTTACAACCGTTAATATTTGTGGCTTAGAATTAGAGTTATCATTTATATATATATTTATTTTCATTCTGAGATGTAATTTTTTTATATATTTATGGTGGAAAATTAAAAGAAAAAAAAAGGTTGAAAATGAACGAACAATACGAGACTTTGGAACTGCCACCTGGCACGCGCGTTGTGGTTAAGCGTCCTTTTCCTTTTGTTCAAGACTTGAAAACGGGACAAAGACCTTTGTTCGATTAATGAATGGTCCCAGATCCTAATGAATATTTAGATTTTGACACGTGTGGTGGGAGAGAAAATAAATTCTAACTGTTGCGTTTAAAAAACATGTGTTTTTTTAATGAAATTTGAAATTTTAATCTTAGCGTTTAAAATTTAAATTCTGTCAAATTTAAATATTAAAAAAAGTAATGATATATGAATACTAATTTTCTTTAATTACATGTCAAGAAAAATATTTATTTTATTAAAAATAAAAAAATGAATAATTTATTAAATGAGGCTATAGGAATTAGGAAAAAAAAACTATGAATTATGAGTTTTGGGGGGGTTTTTAAAAATTTTTGAGGGTGTTTAGAAATTATATTAGTACAGAGAAAAACGAAAATTAGATGCTTGTGCTTAATTCCTTATGACATATAATAATCTCACCACCAAATTAAAATATGGTTAATTTTTGTTAAAAGATCTAAGTTAGAGATAAGTTAAACATAGGCAGGTTTAGTTGATAAATTGTTTTATGTTTGCATGAAAAATGTGAAGTTGAATTTCTTTTTCACCATTTATTTTTAAGTTTAGATCAATTTCATTAAAATTTTTTTAACCCAAATGTTAAGCTTTGTTGTTCTCATACTAGATTCAAGAAATAAATAGAAATGTAAATTATAACATAGTAACAAAGAGTTGAACCAAACTCTTCTATGACACAACTCATTGACTCAAGTAGAGTTAAAGCAACTATAGACCAAAACCCCTTTTTGGATTAGAAAATGAGAGAGCTTCCACCGCTCAAGAGATCATCAGCTAAAATCTTGTTTTGCAGCCTCTGATGGATGGAAACCATTCCGGAAAAAATATTCAGATGCATTTGCACATGCGTGATTGCACGATATTGATGTTTCCAGCAGCCTAGTTCCACAACAAGCCACCTTGGAAGCTAATTTGATTTTTTTTTTCAAAGAAAGTTGCAGTCTATTGAAGGAAAAAATTATAAATATTGAAATTGCTCGTTATCATTTTTTAAAAGTGTTTATTTGATTTTGATGATATACAGTTGTCGGCAGGTTTTGTGACAAGTTTGAAAAGAGGTTGGTAGATCTCAAAGACAACCAAGCTAAGGCCAGAAAGCTTTTTCTGCAAAATTTGAGACGTGGCATTGAGCTTGTTGTTGAATGAAACTGCATAGCTATTTAACTTAGCCACACACTCGTTGCTATCAGACCCAAAAATTGGGATGACTGCTGGCAAGCGGCCCAGCTGTGGCAATGTCGTGACTCCAATTTTCAAGCTCCAAGCTCGTATAAATTCTGTGATAAAACTTTTAACTAATATGCAAGTTTTAATTGTTAAAGTAGATTATTTTATATTTAATAAATATTTAATTTTTCGATTTCATAGCAGAGTGCGAATACTATTACCATGTAGAAATGTCCTCGGGTCATGCTGGGTGAAGGATCACATTTTTCAATGTAGTTAAGCCATTCATGCCCACCTTTGATCACAAGCGATGCTTCTAGGCTTGAAGGGTAGTAGGGCACCTATCCAATATCCCGATTTCGGTGGCAGAGGGCGAACACTATTACCACGCAGAAACGTCCTCGGGTCGAAACGACCTTTGGAAAGTGTTCAAAGAGGAATCGGGCCCGTAGAGCCCTCCCAGTCTATCTCTGATGCCGCCGCCATGGATTGCAGATCATTGGCCTTAGGCCAATTCCGAGTATTCGAATTAGGTTCATTTGTTTACAATCAATTAATTTTAAATTAGATATTTAATATAATATTAATCAAAAGTTTTTTTTTTGTTAATCTTTTTAAATTTATCACATGGTAAATTTTTTTTATTTTTTATTTACTTGTGATGAAAGCTTACTAAAATAATATTATCTCACATTTAATAAATATATAATTTTTTATAATTTTATATTCAAATTAAATTTTTTCACTTACTGTTAATTGATTTTAAATTGAATTCTTAATACTAATCACCAAATAAAAGCATATATTGGGCATGGATGTTCGAATTATAAATCTCAGATTTTGAGTTTTGAGGGATTTAAGAGAAATTACTTCCAAACATTATTTGTATAATGTATGCAAGTCATCTTCGGGGTTAGATTTTTCTAGATTTCTATGTTTTCAAGACTTTATCACATGAAGAAATATTAACTTGTAATTGAGGAGAAAGGGACGAAGGGAGACCTGAATGAAATTAGCAAAGAATTCAATGAGAATATCCGAGGAATTGGTCAGGTGTATAGGCCTTATATAAAAGAGGATCAATGTACTAGTTCTGAAGAAAGTCACTGCTACCAGAGCTGATAAAGTAGATTCCACCTGATATTATTGAAGAAGCATTGGATTTCCCTGCAATTGCCACCACTTATACTGGTACTCCTTGTATGTTGCAAAAACAAAGAACAAATATTGACAGTCCAAAGAGAAATAAAAAGAATTTTTGGTTTCATTTTTGCTTACATATAACTTTGCTGTAGTCTCATGGTAACCAGAAGAAGCTGATACAAAGTTGGTTCCAATTAACAGGTTTTTTCCTTAAGCCATTTTGCTGAGATAAGCTGGCGGATAATCAGTGAAACCAATGTTCTCAGCTGTGTTTTTACAAAACAAAATAAACGACAAACTGTTAGAGAATCACATATATACGTTGAAACAGTATAAAAAAAGGGAAAAAAATGAAAATGGGATCAAGGACCAGTGAAGTCTGAGGCTAATTTTCCATTGCAGAATCTTCCTGTTGGTTCATGATTAACAAAGTCCCTCCCCTAAGGAGGGAAGTCTGCTTTTACAATGGTATAGAGGTTGTTGTTGTTGTTTCCCAAATCAACAACAGAGTCCCCAAATATGAACATTGCAGGAACAAGGGGCTGTCCATTAGCAACCAAAAGCACAAAGGCAAAGAGAATGGATCGAGCCAAGAATAACTTGGAAACTTCAGTTGGTTTTATGGCAAGTTCAAGTGGTTTTTTTACTCCAGACTTAATGAATTCAAGAGAAATTATCTTTTCGCATCTTCTTAATGGATTTGAATTCAAGCAACCAAGAGGAGCAAACTATCTTTGCTACTTGAACCAACATCTGTTTTACGTCACTTCTATTTTAAGTTGCCAATGATATCGCCCTTGTTTACTTCTCTAGCATTTCCCCAGTCACTTTCAAATCCAATTTTAAGTATCTGTGAAGTTATCAGATACTCCAATTTTGAAACAATGTTGGCAGACAAAGAGATTGGGCATCCTTGCTTACATAGTAGTATTATTTAACAGGCACACCCTTCTATTCAGGGGTGCATCAGGAAATGGAACTGGCCTCCACTGTATGGACAATGTCATCTTTTTCTTCACAAGGTTTACTTATGTTTTAGGCAATAGATTATAGTGGTTTCTTTCTCCTTTTCACTTTAACCCAATTGGAGTTTTTCTTTGTTGGTTTTGGATGTCTCCACAGTTTCGTGTTGCTCCCTTCCAAATATAAAAATAAAAAATAATAACAATATGACAAGATCGCCACCAGGGGATGTAGCTCAAATGGTAGAGCGCTCGCTTTGCATGCGAGAGGTACAGGGTTCGATCCCCTGCATCTCCAATTCTCTTTAATTTTTTTACCTTTGGCCATTGTTTTCAAAACCATCTTGGCATAGACCAAAGTGTTAAAATGGCTGTTCTGAAAACAAGCATATGAATGTTCAATAAATCAAAAACTAGAAAGGCATCAATGCAGAATATTAAGTAAAACTTTTTTTCTATTATTATTTGATTATAGAAAAAGTGAGAAAATTACATCATTTAGAAGATACAAGAAAATCGAGTACCCTGCTGTATATGCACCTTTCACTCTAGCACAAGGACCAAAATGTTATGAATGATTTCCAGCAAGATATTCCTGGTTACCGCAAAAAAAAAGCTAATTTCTCTACCTGATCAAAGCGTTGTGCTTTTCGCCTGATCCTCTCAACAAGCTCCGTACTCGATAAAGGTCAGTCCTTATGCTGTCTAAATGTAATCACAGCCGAAGATTTATTCTCTCAGACATTCTTAAGATATCCGAGTAAATCCTATCACCTTCTATCTCCTTCCCGGTGGCTCCAGCGGCAATGCGCAATATATCTTCAATTAGAGCAACATTTCCCATGATGTCAACATGTGCCCCACTCTCAATGCTCCTCCCTTCAAACAGACTAACTGGTGGCTTGTGCCGGTACTCCCTTGTGTATGTAGCAATACCAGATGGATTGAAACGGGTTCTTCCTTTCCAACCTTTAGCACACATGAATCCAGCACTTAGAACCGGTACACTCTCATCTCCATCAGCAAAATATACTCCACCTTTCAAGCAGCTATCATCTTCTCCATGGACTGAGCTATCAATCTGGTATGGAATGCTTTTGCACCTACTGTTAGGTGATAGCTTGTACACGTATGATCTTTCAGTTGGAATTCCAACACCATACAAGCAGTATATTTCCATGTCCGGAGCATCAGGTAGCCTGAAAAATATGTTCAGCTCCTATATCATTAACAGATGGGGAAAGGTCAATATTGAGGATTAGTTCGAAATGCATCTGAAGTTTAAATTATACTTCGTTTCAAGTGGATTAGACCAGTATTTGTAATGGCTGTATTTAGGGTCATCAAGATTGTCTGCAATTCCATGTGAAAAATGAGCTTCAGCCCGTTGCATCATTTTTGGTGCCACAAAGCGTAGCAGATCAAGAAGAGTTGTGGCTGTGTAAGCTTTATCTGATGCAACTTTTTGGACGCTTTCCCTTCTCATCTCATCATATTCCGTCCTGGTGTCTCCACATGAAAAGTTGAAATTTTGGGAATCACTTGTGCGCAGAAATTCCTGATAATGAAACATTCAGCATCGATTCCCACCATAAAAGCAAGATCCTTGACAACAATAAAAATTGACTCAAACATTGCAACTTAAATTTTCTTATAGTTTTATTGAGGATACTGATTGGAGATCTATTAGTACATCAAGCACTCAGAAATCCAGTATTTGTCAATGTAATACTTCAAAAAATAAAAATAAAAATGTTACTATCAGCTGTGTGATCTATTTGAAAAATGTTAGATTTTTAATTTTAGTGAATAGAATTCAATTCTTGACAGCCTCAAGTGTCGTGTATGTGTGCACGCATGCGGGTGCATGTATGTTATCAGTAAGGGGTGGCATGGTTGTATCGTATACCTTTGAATCAACAGTGGGAAGCTGTGAAGAATGTAATACTGAAGCTGACTTGCCGAAAGAGATTAATCTTCCATACTTAGCTGGATCTTCCACTCCGAAGCCTCTCTTCACATCACTGTTGTTGACACTATTGTCACTTAGAGATTGCTGAGAGTACCTTTTCTCAGAGAAGTCACAAACGTGGCCTTCTTCAGGAGACCAGTCCATGTTGCCCCAAATGGTCTCTCCTCCTTTAGGCAACCATGACACAATGGAGTCCCATGTCCGAGACACCCGCATGACATGTCTAAGTGTTTGAAGCCCTAAAATATCAGAATCCAAAACTCCAGGTGCCACAGCTCTACAAAGGGCATACGAAAGAGTAAAATATGGTAAAAATTTCAAGCTAATCATCACTAACATCAAGAAATCTGTGTTGTAGTCATCATTATTTGGATATTTTCCATCTCAGTCATGGTTTTACATGTTCGAACTAACAGCGCCAACTATGAGGAAGAGATTGCAGAGCTAACCTGATATAAGAAACGTCATTGCCCTCAGCGGAGAATATATTACTAACAGCCTTTGGAACACCCAGAAATGCCGGACCAATGTTCATGACTGCCTTGATGTGCTTGGCACACCAACCTGGACCACCACCACCCCCCATAGGAGGGAGGGTTTCAACCCATTTAAGGAAGTGAAGAAAATAGATAACCCCCATGGAATGGGGCACCACTACCACTTTCTTATAGCCATTGATTATATACATCAGCTCAATTTCACTCTTCAGCCTACTAAGAGCATGGTCCCGAATCTGCTTATCCCCAATTGAAAATATATTAGTAAAAACTCAATTTAATATGTTATCTATGTTTTTTTGCTGCAAATTGGCCATGAAAGAAGCAAAGCATGTAGAGTTTGGAGCCAAATTCATACTGATTTCCATCACTTTCAGAAGCAGAGAGCAGAAGGGCAATAGCGAGCATAAAGGAAGAACAATTATACCTCTGTATTTTGGAAAGAAAGTCTCCAATCATAAGCAGCCATGTGCAAATTCTTCCCCTCATAGCCGATTTTTGCTAAATTTTTGATGAGAACAGCCCACACAAAATATCCTGAAGCAAAATAGTCAGCCGCAACCAGACCCGGAACAGCTCGAACCCGGATTCCTTGTGGGTCAAGGCCAGTTTCATTGTGCAAAGACAAGTGCTCCAACCAACACAAAGGCCTGAATCCCAACAGAATTCCATAAAGTTCAATCCCAATTCAAACTAAAATGCAATTAATGCATGAAAAAAAACTCGCTTTAAGTACCTCTTGATGGTTTCAGTGAAGCTACCACCCCAAAGGCGCTTACGGAACAGACCATCAGCACAGGGCCTGCCTTCCCATAGCTCTAGGCCACCAGTGACAATGCCAGGGACCAAAACCACAGGGTGAAGAGCTGTCAAACCTTCACGTTTAAGCCTGACCCCTGGTAATTCAGGAACCTGAAGCAATGTAACCGGCAAGCAGTGGTGCAAGAACAAAAGAAGCCACCAAATGGCGCAAAGGTATCCAATTATCCAACAACAAGAATCTAAGCATCTCCATTCCTTAAGCTTCCTCCTTGGTTGCTTTCTCTTGTTGATTTCCAAGGCATAATTGCTAGCGGAAATGACATCTTCTTCTTTCTTGTCCAGCTTTTGATCGATCTTTGGTGACTGATCAAAAGATTCAAACCCCACTGAAGAGCACTTAAGTGCTGACTCTACATAGCATAGTTTTCTAAACCGAAGAAAAGAAGCCATTTCCGACGAAAATAAATTAATAAATATAGAACTCACTGAAAAGAACAACAACACGAACTACCCGTCAAAAGGAAACATGAAAAACTTGTGAAAAACACACAAAAAAAAAGCAATAAAAGAAAAACATTGTAAGAACAAGAACATTTCACTAATATATAAATAGCTTGAGAAAAAAGTAGAGACAGCTGAATTATAATAAAGTTCAAAAGCGATCAGCTTTAAGATTAGCCGTTACATGAGAAAGGGAAAAAAAAACGGGGTGAAGAAGACCAAGATTTGGGTGTCTGAAAATGCAGTAAGAAACAAGAAGAGAAATCAACTTCGTCTTCTTTCTCTTCTTTTCAATGGTTTGTGAAAATGAAGCTATTTTGGAAGTAACCTGTTGAGCCGATGAAACCGAGTGATATATATGTATATATAGAGGTGGACGATGAAAAAGAGTATAACAAAAACTTGGGTTTTGGACTTTAGTGACACTTGTCTTGGTCTTTACGTGCATAAACAGATGACCTTAGATCAGCTGTCACCTTCTCTATCAAGACGTTTCTAAATTATTCTTTCATTTCCTTTCTGTTTACCTTCCACGTGTAAATTTGTACCCTTTTAGCCTTTTCACAACCCAAACTCCCACATTCTACATTTCTCTCTTTTTTCTTTTTTTTTTCAATTTTGTTTGTAGAATGTGCGCTTGACGCCCGTGAAAGGGGGACAAGTTGGATTGACACGCTACGTCAATTAATGCCAACGGTTAATTTGCTCTGTTTTTTCTAGATTAAATTTTCTAAAATAGCTTCCTATAATTATGTTATTATTACGAACTTTTATAATATTAATAGATTAATCTTATAAATAGTTTTTAATTTGTAATGAAATATTTAATATGATATTTTAAAAATGTAAAAATTTTTAATGTAGTATTTGACTTATGAATTTATTAATTAATATAATATTTATTTTTGATGTGAATAAATAATTATTTAAGTAATACATTAATTAATATATTTATAATTTAGGTATTATATTAAAAAAATTTTAAATTCAATTTTATATTGAATATTTTATTATAATTTAAAAATTATTTGTAACATTGATCTTATATTAATTTAAAATAAAAATTATTATACTAAGTCTTTGGTAATTTTGCTCCAACAATTTTATTTTTATGAGAATATAATTTGTTATCATGGCTCTTTTATCTTTTATTCTTTTTTCATGAATTTTTTTTTCATTTTAAATTATGATTGAAATTTGTATTTAAGATTTTTAACTTTGAAATCGACTTTAATACCACTAAATTAACAATTAATTAATTCATCAGTTCGTTACTTATCAATAATTTATTGTTACAACCCTCATAATTCATGAATTTGTTGTCTACCGATAGATCTTAATAAAGAATTTATTTGATACCTATTTTTTCATCTCAGTTGGTGGGAATAGTTTATACTATAATGGAAACTGAAGGGGTAATTAACTTTCTAATTACAAACAAACAAATTTTTGGGAAATTGATCAAGTTGAAGCATGTTATTAAGTTGTGAGCCAAGGAGGAAAAAATGTAAAAAATAAGCAAGATTGGCATTGAGAGAGAAAAAGGAGAGAATCCAAAGGGGACAAAGCATGGCTCCTCGGCCCTTAATCATCAGGAAATTAAGCACGCAGTACGAGAAACACTGAAACCAAACCGTCTAAAAGGTTATTTTGCCACATGGAGAGGACCCTCTACAAAACCAAGTTCCCGCATGCATGGTAGAATAGTTTATGTTGAGAAAGAGGGCACAATGTTTGAGGAGATGGGATATAAATTATAAGATGAGTAGTGGGTGGGATGATGATATTCTCTTTTATTCTCTCGTCTGTTTCCAAAGCCAACAGATCAGGTCAGTAGCAACGTTGTTTCAGTTGAGAAATTTGTGTTTTTGATCAACCCATGCATGGTGGACGTAGGATTAGGGATTCATGGATGCTTAGTGAGATTGATTACAATGATATTGAAAATAATAGTGAAACTAAAATTAATTATTGTAACGATGAGATTAAAATTAATAATAAAATATATATTTAAATGTAAAAATAAAAATGATAGTTAAGAACATAATCTAAAGGATAAAAAAAAAATAATAATAATGTACTAAGTTGGAAATAACAGGTACAATAGGTGAAAATTTTCTCACTAAACCTAAAAGATTCATTGGAGAACTGGAGGCAAGCGTGCCACATTGATATTCTCCAAACACCATCGTCATGAGATTAAAACAATAAAAAAAAATGCAAATCGCACCGAAACGACGTGACAGTGGAATCCAAATGATCCCTCGATTATATATGTGCAATTATGCATGAAGGAAATTGATCAGGAATTTTTTTTTTGCTTACTCTCATGACAATAGAGTTTATGGGCCACATAGATGAGATATTTGATTTTTTTTTAATAAAAAAAATAGTTTAGGTTGAAGAAACATTTTTCTAATTCAAGGTTAAAGCAAACAATAAATTTAAAAAATTACATTAAATTTATAGATATTTAAAAACAATAACTTTGAAAGCTTAATTTGCAGACTATAAATAGTGGTATTTGTTTATGATATTTAAATGTCAATTCTATCTAAAGATATTGATTAAGAAAATAAAGATGATTCTGAAACCTAATTATATATGTCTTTGTGCAGTCCATCAGATGACAAAAAAGCCAAAATTTTCTCACTAAACCCTTACCATTTGTTCCCTAATTGTTACTTAATGATCTTCTTTCTTTTTATAATTTTTTTTTCTTTGGAAAGATAGTGATTCAATAAGAGGAGAGAATGTGTGCACAAAAGTGGAGAAAAGGAAGGTGGGTAAAGTAAGAAATTTTCATGAAATGACAAAAAAACATAATTTACCATTTTCTCCAACTTCGTTTCCCTAATTATTACTTATTGATCTTTCTTTTTATAATATATATATATATATATATATATATTGGTAAGATGATAATTTAATAGGAGAGAATTTGCGCACAAAAGTACATGAAAGGGAGATATGCACTAAGAAATTTTCATCAAATGACAAAGAAACATAATTTAGCATTTATTAACTTCATTTCCCTAATTATTACTTACTGATCTTTATTTTTATATGTTTTTTCCTTGATAAGATGGTGATTGATCCAAAGGAGGAGAGAATGTATGTCAGGAAAAGAAAGGTCAATTTGGATGCGAAATTAATTTTAGTTTGGTTAAAAATATAGTAAAATTAATTATTGTAATGATAAATTTAAAATTAATGATAAAAAATATATATTTAAATGTAAATCTAATAATTGTAATAATAATATATATATATATAATTGAAGTAAAAAAGTGATCCAAACACTGTATTTATCTTTCGTTGTCTTTCAAATGAGGCCTAAAAAATTTATCAAAAGAAAAAAAAACCCATAATTTTGTCACTAAACCGTACCATTTCTCTAATTTCTTTTCCCTAATTGTTACTTACATATCTTCTTTCTTTTTAATTTTTTGCTTTGATGAGATGTAAATATCATTTTGTATTTTATTATTATTTTTTTTATATTTCTTTTTTTTCCTTCCTTATTCAGTTCAGTTTGACAAGATTTGAGTGCATTAAATGCACCATCATCAAAAGTTCAAAATATCAGCAACCGCCATCACCAGCAGTCACTTGACATACTGTTTAACTTGACAGTATGAAATTTAGGTTGAAAATATAAGATTTGAATTTAAAAAAATTTGATATTTGAATCTCAGAAAGCTCTATAAATAGAGTTTATTACTTGCAAGAAAAAAGGGGAATCGATTAAAAAAATCGATGAGGTCTTGCAAAAAAAAAGGATAAAAAAAAGAGCATTGTCAGATAAAAAAAAAACTTTTTGAGTGAAAAAAAATCAAAACACAGTCTCTTAGGAACGGTGAACCCATCACCACCTAGCAAAAAACACAAAATAAAGCAAAAAAGACAAATCAGAAAAATAAAAAAATTTTGGTTGAACCTTTCAGGCCAGATTTGTGCCATTTTGAGCTTTTTTTCGTAGATCTAAGCTTAGATCTTGTTAGAAGGCTGTGATGAGTGTTTTGAAATATTTTTAAATTTTTCGACATCGATGAGTCGAAGCTCGCCGATAGTGAGGAACACGACAACCATCAAGGTGGATGGCCATCAACCCCAGATTGATCTAAAAAAAAAAAGAGAGAGGAGGATTTTTTTTTTAGAGAAGAGAGAATGACTGAAAAAAAATTGTGGCATTTTATATAAACTGTCAAAACCAAAACGATATCGTTTTAGCATTTAAAGATCTGCGCGTCAACCTATGACTCGACCTGCGACCCGCTTCTCCGTCAGTTTTTGACAGGTCCAGCTGAACTAACCCAGACCGAACCGTTGACATCAGACCGAACCACTGAACCGGACCACACATTGATTGGACCGTTGATCGATTCAGTTCAGGTAAAAAAAAATTTTTTTGAATTTTTTTATAGATTTTTTATATATTATTTTTGTTATTTTAATTATTATTCTTAATATTTATGCATTTTAAAATGTTTAAATTTACCAAAATAATTTTTTTTATCTTATAATAATAATTAATAAAAATAAATAATAAAATATAATAAAAGTTTTTAATAATTATATTAATTTTAGAATAAATCTTATAAAATAATAAAAAATATAAGAAAAAATTTTTTATCTGATGATGAAATTCAAAGGTACTCCGAGTAGTGATGCCTACAAAATTTTTAGGTGAGAATATTTTTTTAAAATACTACCAGTGTATTGAAGTATTTATAAAAAAATTTTCAATACAATAAAATTTTTCTTTTTGTTAATAAAAAAATATAATTTATTAATTTATTAAAAAAATAGTAATATAAATAAAGAAAAAGAAAATTTTATCCAATGTGAGATTCTAAAAGTATTCCAAGTAGTGATACTTTACTAAATCTCTAAGTGATAAGATTTTTTTAAAAAATATTATCAATGTATTGAAATATTTATAGAAAAACTTCAATATAATAAAAATTCTTTTTTTCTTCAAAAATTTAACCTGATTCGATTACCTAAAATTCAATCCCGACCTAATCCCAATTTTTTTTTACTATTACTTGATCTGAACTGATTTAAAACTCTATTTTAAAATAAAACATAACCCTAAGAGATCGGGTCGAATTGAAACTCGTCAGGAGTATATTAGGCTACTATCTCTAGATATATATCATCTTTAAAAAATTTATATAAATTAATTAAATTAAATTTTAAATTTAAAACATTGTATCTTTTAATCTAGCACTGATTGATTTAGAAATGATGAGCAAAGGAAAAAAATAGCCATCGTATTCAGGTTATGGCAAGGAAAAGGTTGGAGAATAGCACAATAATACTAGTTTTCCAACTTAAT